GAAAATGTTAAGTGTATACGTTATAGAAAACGTATAGTTTTGTTATTATTAAAAAGCTGATAAACTTCCTTGAATTATTTACGCGCTACTAAGGGTTTATTTTGTTTTTTAGATATCATTTTGGATTTTTTTTCTATCGAGGAAACTACAAGTAATCGTGTTTATAAACGATGTACGATTTATAGAATAAATCCTTAAATATCCTACATGTTAATTGCATAATTAAAGTTTAAGTAATAACAATACAGCAATATATCAAACGAACGCATTTATTTCGTAATAGTCTCAGTGCGCCCTTACTGTGCCAGTCTAAGGAGATTAAAGGTGCGGTTATAGAGTATAATCGGCGAAAAAGCCAAATTTGAGGTTACCAGGCCAGCTTAATCCTACATAACGACGTGACTGATTTTCTTACTTTCTTTTTAACTATAAACTCTCGGTAACATGTATAAGGTCTAAAATGCTTTGGATTTAATTACAAGACTTGAATATCGCATTGAAAGTCCATTGTTGTCCAACACGCTCTAAAAATGTCAGAGGCCGAGACATGATTGACATCAGTGGTGATTTGTTTAGACCTATCTACAAGAGTGCTTTGACCTTAAAATGACTATGAATTTACCTATATTACCTGAACAAACATAATTTACTTTAGCTTCGCTATTATTCGCGTAAACGTTCTTGGTTAAACGTATACTATGTTAATAATCACGCTTTTTGAAGTTATACTTCTTTTAGCACGTTTGGAAAAAAATATGAGAGTAGAATTTTTACGATGCGTGCGCACACCGACAGCCAAAAATCGACATGATTAAGTTAGCTGTATTCCTTTTGCAAACAGAGAGTTTTGACTACGGGATGAAATCTTTATAGCTATTTTTGTTCTGTTACGCCAAAGAAGTATAACTTCTTACGTGTGTACATAAATACACACACACGTTTTTTTCTTATTTTTATCATTCTAAAAACATAACAATTTTCAATAAATATTAATGAAAACGAAAGTATGGGCTCCCATGAGAAGGATATCTCTTGAAACATACAAATGAAAGTATAACTCCACAGTGCCCTAAGTTTCTTATTGTCAATGCGTACAGAATTACAGATTACTCTAGCGATTTAGGCTCTGAACGCTTTCGTAACACTTATCCGTTTCAATCTGATTCTTGCGATTCGTGTCCACTTATTTCCGCCAGTACATTGTTTATTCATAGTTTTTTCTTTTTTTTTCTTATAATGATAGTAATCAATCTAAATTCTGTTCTTACGTTACTGTGTGATAAATTTGATTTTAATTTTTTAAATTTCTACTGTACAGGTAGCGTCAAATACTTAGTATTTTTAGGTTTATTTTATATTTGAAGTTTTACAAATAAATATGTTTTATGATGTCTTCTTTATCTCCTACTATGTCTTTTAGTTACATTTTAATATTTTATCCCACGTCAAACACATTAACAACCGTGCGTCATGCATGTTTGTAATGAATAGTTTTATTTTGTTAATTCATCCACACAACTTTATAAAAGTTTGAAAGGATATATTTTATTAGATAAATGTTTGATGGCAATTCTAAATTTTTTTGATTACGCTGTTTATAATATTACTCTTCTACTAATCTAAGCAAAAAACTCTAAAATGTATATAAAAATGTGGTTTATTGTAGTTAAACTTATTATATTCTTAGTTGCTCATGAAGTTTTAAACTTAAACATGAAAAGGAAAATATACCTAATGTCTGTCGGATAAGGAAAGTAATATAATAACAAAATATCATTTTTTTTAAATGTGTGTGTTTTAGTATCATAAATCATAATATTATGAAACTTATAAGTCTAATCAAGATATTTATAAGTTTAAGAAAATAGAGTTCAAATAATATAATCTTATTTTATTAGATGCACCTGATTGTTTTAATTTTAATAGTAAAATACAACTAATCAATTTCTTAGTACATTTATGTAAGTTTAAACATTTTTTTTATATTAATATGTTATGTTTAAGGCAGTGGTAGTCCAGTGGTAACGCGCTTGGTTGGGAAACCGAGTGAAGCGGGTTCAAATCCCGGGTCTCGCACCTCTGATATTATCATTTGCGAATCATTTTAACATGATTACCACTTGCTTTACGGTGAAGGAAAACATCGTGAGGAAACCTGCATATCTGAGAGAACCTAGCAAGTTTTCGAAAGACGTGTAGGCCGCCAACCCGCACTTGGGCAGCGTGGTGGACTATGGCCTGATCCCCGTCGTACTGAAGGGAGGCTCGTGCTTAGCAGTGGGACATTAAAAAAGGGCTGAATACATTATGTTATGTTGTATGAAAACGAGTTATTGTTAAAGTATTTTCTGCATATTTTCATAACATGTCCGCAGATAATTCGATTGTCTGACCTGAATATCCACTCTATTCCACTTAAGATAGCATGTGTTAGATTTCCTATTATACAACCGTTTTGTAAGATTTCGTTTTCATTTGAACCGCTCAATTAAAAGTAGCTTGTTTAACTCTAACGGTGTACCACAAAATTTACGGTACGTGATAATAGTTCTGTGGGCAATTTGTGTTAAATGTTCCGTTTTATAATTTGTCACTCACTTTCACTACAAATAAACGTCATAAAATTATGAAGATATTATTTTACTAATATTATAAATGTGAAAGTTTAGATGTTTGGTTGGATGTTTGTTACTCGATCACGACAGAACGGCTAAACGGATCTGGATGCGATTTGGATACAGAAATAGATTATAGTCTGGAATAGCATATAGTCTATTTATTAACCCGAAAAAATGTATGGTTTCCGTGGGATAGATTTGTTTTTGTTTTCTCAGAGGCGAATCCGAGCGAAGCGAGAGTGAGCCGCTAGTTATTAATAAAGCAAACTATACAAGAAGTCTGGATTTTCAACCGTCTAAATTAATCCAAATGTAATTAGTGAAAATATATAACTGTACAAGTCTAAATATTTTTTAAACTTCTTTTAAATCGAGTAGTTATTTAGAGGTACAGTTTAATTTAAAGAAAAGCCGCTCTACGAGATGAAGCGTGAAAAGCAATTCGGAAGAAAATAAACGGACCGCAACGCAGTTTTTGTTTATCGAGTTGCTTAAATCTGCCATCGCACGGTGTGTGTTGTTGTTTAGCATTTTGTTTCCGGAAGCACCCACCGGAACGGCAGCTGAGTTGTATATTAGGGTTCAATGTATATATTTAATGAAAACCCGCATATGTTGGCAGGCAATGCACTAAGTATCTAACAATTAGATAAGATTTTTTTATACTCTTTGATCAACTTCATAAAGGAGAAATGAAAGTATCTACATATTTTTTTTGTTTGTCGTCAATTTTGAATCATTTTTCGTGGTCCTTTGTTTTAATGAATGGAACTTTCATGATAAAAAAATCATATTTAAAATTAAACAAGATATCAAAAAAATAACTTTAAAGCGATTTTAAATTCGACGTGCATTTTATTTAAAAAATACAATTATTAACTTTAGTTTCGCCAGTTAAAACTATGGAACTAAGTACTTATTGCCATAATGTTTGCTGTACGTAAAATAATTCGTGTTCTACATATGTATGTATAAATGCAATTTTCCTTTTAAATAAAGAAATAAAATACAAGTGCTTCTCTATTATACAATATTACATTATAAATTATAGTAAATGCACCTTTAAATTTATTGTATTTATAATATGTATATTTATTGTATAATATAATAAAATTCTAACTCAGTCGAATCTGTACATTAAATATTTTTTGGAAAATCTGATTGAATTATTATCGATACAGAGGTCGAATCTACAGTTTTTAGATTTTTTGTCTGTCTGTCTGTCTGTTACCGCATCACGAGAAAACCACTGGAGGGATTTTGATGAAATTCGGTATGGTGATAGCTGGTTATCCGGGTCAACAACATATAGGATATTTCTTACCCTGGGAAAATGTCTCATTTCTGAGAAAAAATACAAAAACTGCAATTTAGGAGTATACTAATATGTAAGAATTTGGTTTTTGGTTATCTGAACGCGGGCGGAGCCGCGGGCAATGCTAGTATTATTATATATAATAAAATATTTAATAGTAGATTCTAGTTTTTTAGTAATTCATGTTAGTTGATACAAACATACTAACATCCGAGTTAATTACATAACACAAGAAAGTATTCCACATGTTCGTAACGAAAGTGAATTATGCGTTTCGGTCGTTATCTCTTACAATTACGTTTCGGTCATTCTTTTACAGATTTGCTGTAATATTTTATAACGTAACATTACGTAATTCGAAAAACAATAATTTTCGCATCAATTTTATGCACACCTGCACTTTACTCTTGTTATTTTTTTATATGGCCACGCAACTGTGACTCGTGTTTAATGCGACATCGTTTCCTATACGAGTATATGTAATGCATCTTATTAGTATTCAAACTGAATTTATGTAAATTTAGATGCAACGAGAAACATTTTTATTTATGTACAGCAGTTCTTATCGGAGTTCGAACTACTATTATCATTGCGAAAATTTGTATGTTTGTGTGTGTATGTTTGTTTGTTACTTTTTCATGCTAAAATGGCTAGACGGGTCTAGATAAAATTTAGTACACAAAATAAAGACTATTACTTGGAATAGCATAAGTCGCTAGTCTGAAAAGATGAAATTTGGCACAGAGATAGATTATAGTCTGGAATAACACATAGGCTACTTTTTATCCCGGAAAAATGTACAGTTCCCGAGGGATAGATTTGTTTTTGTTTTTCTAAATGCGAACCCAAGCGAAACGAGGGTGAGCTCTAGTTATATATACATATTTATTATTAAACAAACGCGTGGGCTGCAATAAGCATCGTTACCAAACAAATCTTGTTAGAAAGTGTCAGTAAAACCTATTTACTAACTACTGAACTATATCATTTCATAGCGTAGCAGAAAGCTAATTTTGAATTGTCTTAAATATTAATATTAACTTGTATTACATTTGTTTCAGTAAAAGATGACAATGGATAAACAGCTGGTATGGGTGCGGGACCCAAACGAGGGGTTCCTGTTGGCTCGAATTCAAGAGCTAATGGGTGAAGAGGCCGATGTGTTCCCAGTAGATAACAAGTATCCGAAACGCGTGTGCAACTTCGATGATATATTCCCGGCTGGAGACCCCACTAAGGATGTCGATGATAATTGTACGCTTTTCTTTCAATATTGAGTAAATTATTATATAATAATATATTACAATTTACCTGTATTAGCATTGGACTTTTTACTTCTCTTATTTTTGAATTTTTAATTAAAATCTAATTCTATAGAAGTTTGTTGAAAAATATTGTACTGTTTGATGTATAACAATGATTCAGTTGGAAAAACCGGTTAAGGACATTCATAATAAATGGAGTTATTGTTATTTTTTATTATGTTACCGCATTCACTGAGATGATCTTGAAAATTAAGTGCACGTTGCAGTCTGTAATTTTTTTTTAATTTGACGTTGATATTGAAAGTAGTTACAATGTCTGAAATCCTTGAAGAGTTCATAAGAAAACCTGGACTTGTTGTCCTTGAGTTATACTGTGACCGGTTTACCGTGATGCTATCTATGAATTATGGTATATCCACTTCATGACTTACTCATATAATTTGGAGCTAAATATAATCTATTTAAATTCAAATTTCAAATTACCTGAGTTATAATATAAGTAACCACCTACGTTTATCAACTTTGCTAGTTTGAAAATAAAAATTTATATACAAATTAATGTTTATAATAATAATAAACTGTAGCGCAAGAAACATTTATCTACTGAAACGTACTTATATAAATTTTAACGATTGCAGGCGAACTAATGTTCCTCAACGAGGCGACGCTACTGAACAACATGCTCACACGATATAAGAAGAAAAAGATTTATGTAAGTACTGTTATGACTCACATTACCTTGAAGCTGCTATCGATTTGTAAACTATTTGTGCAAATATGGCCTGTATATAATTCTTGATTGATTTTGACTTTAGATACGAATTTATAAAGGAATTTCCAATTCTTAATAAACATTAGATGCTATCGAGTAATATTTAAATTTGAATGCATTTACATTAAATATTATGAATATGATTTTGCGGTTCAAAATAATTTTGCTTAAATATTGTCATCTTTTAAAATTTTATTAGGTATTTAGATATTGAAGGCAATTTTTTCTTTTGTTATAAATAAATATTATATACAAACATTAGTTAAATTAGTATAATTTAATACAATTGAACTAAAATGTCGAAAATGAACTTAAGACTATCTATACAGTTTATATACTATAAATAAAATTGAAGTGTCTGTTTGTAATGACAAAATAATAGCTTTTTACTAAATACATATGAAATTATATACGGTAGGTACTTATAATAAACAATTTTATTTTTTTTGTCTGTCCGTTTGTTCCGGCTAATCTCCGAAACGGCTGGACTGATTTTGACCGGACTTTTACTGCCCAGTAGCTGATGTTATAAGAAATAACTTAGACTTTTATTTCAGAAAAAGGATTAGGGTTCCGCGCAAAAAAAAACATGAAATTGCGAACAAAATAAATAAATAATAATAAATAAATAAAAAATCCGCGTACCTAGGGACGGAACCGGGGTTAAATCGCTAGTTCCAAAATCCAAATATAAATTAAAAATTAAAAAAAACTCCTACGCAAATTAATTGTCGTTTAAGGATTACAATAGCACGCGTGAAGCACTTAATCAAGTAATCATACACCAAAATGCCTTACATCATTTTGGAAAAAGCTGATACTCTTACACTGCTGGACCGATATTAACCAAACAGCTAAGAACCACCGCCAGGAAAATGAAAAAAACCGCATCGAAATCGGTCCATCCATTTGAGAGCTACGGTGCCACACACATACATACACAGACAGACATCGACGTCAAATTTATAACACCCCCCTTTTTGCGTCGGGGGTTAAAAATACTAAAAGTTAACTGTAAGGTTATATCATAAGTTAATACGTAATGTCGTTGGTATAATCTTCGACTGAAAATTTAATACGATTTTCACGCTCTATTACGGACAATACATTAATATGAATAGGATGAAATGTAGAGTACACATACGTACACGATACCCTCACCTTGAACGTCCTCACGCAACGTTATCGATTACAATATTAGCTAATTATTACGTGGAAATAAGGTAAATGCAAAATAATTGCATGATCAATGCAATATATATCTTAAAGATTACTCGATTTTTTGAACGGAACTTTAATTCTTTTACTGGAATAAAAGTAGCCTAAGTTACTCCTTATAACATCAACTACCTGCCAGTGAAAGTCCCGTCAAAATCGTCCCAGCCGTTTCGGAGAGTAGCCGAAATAAACAGACAGACAAAAATTTAAAAAATGTGTTTTGTTATAAATACCGTATATAATTCCATATGCATTTAGTAAAAAGCTGTTATTTTGACATTACAAACAGACACTTCAATTTTATTTATCTGTATAGATTTAAATAAATAATTGTATACGTAAATCTTATTATTTTATATTTATGTTTTCAAATTTTTCAGACGTACGTAGCAAATATTTTACTTGCCGTCAATCCCTATGAAGACATTCCAGATATGTACTCCTCGAATACAATCAAACAGTATCAAGGAAGGTCATTGGGAGAACTACCGCCTCACGTTTTTGCTATAGGTACATTATATTTCTATTGTATTTAAAATTGAAGGATTACAGGTCGTTTGGGGGCCTACGGAGCTTCGTTCGGCGTAAGCACTAATTCTATAGGTTACCATCAATGCAAGTACCACACACATTTACGAGATGGCGCTGTATGACTCTGTCGGCATGAGAGCAGATAAAAAAGGCTCTAATAATAATTAGTTATATAAAAATGGTGATTTTTTCAAAAAAGACACAACCTTATAGACAAACTTAAAAAGCAAAACCTTATCTAAATACAAAATTTGATCCAAATAGTTAGAGCCGTTTCCGAGATACACCAAATAAAATATACAAGAATTGTTCATTTAATATTACAAGATAATGCAGTGTTATTTGTAATACTACTTAGTAATGGCTCATATTGTGTAAATCAATAGAAGCTATAAGTTTCAAATCGATGCTAAAATTTAATTTTTATATCAACCAATAATCTACAACAGTACTGCCGGCATTCACTTTGATGTAAATACTAAATAAATATAAATACCGTCTATATATATCTTACTATGTTAATATCTGAGCTATAACAATGATAATAATAATTCATAATAATTACGTTTATAGAGTTGATATGTCTGTATCAGATTACGAAATGTTTGATGGATTTTTACAGCTGAAAGGTTTTAAATTCGTTTTTCATTTGGTAATAAAGAATTAATTACTAAAGACAGCAGTTAACAAATACTTAACATTGCTACTTTTTTTTCTTTTTTTTTATTATTTAAATGATTCCCCATACAAATTTTCATCCCCATTTTCACCCCCTTAAGGAATGATTTCCAGGATAAAAAAGTATCCTATGTCCTTCCCAGGGTCTCAAACTACCTTTTTACCAAATTTTATCTAAATCGGTTCAGTAGATCCAGTGATTACCCCCTACAACATCACAAATTCACATAGATGTATTATTTATTGTATTTTTAATTTAATTTATTTATTGAAATTTCATAGAACAGTTATAAATGAATCATTGCTCTAAAAGAAGCCAAAATAATGTTTATGTTACAAATAATTATTATGATAGTATAGTAAATAATGTGTTTAGTATATTTCTTTAACAAATTGACGCCATTTTCAGCTGACAAAGCATTCCGTGATATGAAATCACTCAAGCAATCTCAGTCTATAATAGTGTCGGGTGAATCCGGCGCCGGTAAAACTGAGTCTACCAAATATATCCTGAAATACCTTTGCGACCTGTGGGCTAAGGGCGCTGGCCCTGTTGAACAGAAGATTCTAGATGGTAAGATTTTAAATTATTTATGTTACTGAAAAGGTAGATTTTTTTAAAATTTACGACATTTTTGGAGGTACGGACGTTTGTAATTTATTTATATTTGTTTTTTTTATTTGTTGTTATTTGAAACTAGTACCTGGGCGACCGACCAAGCTTTACTCGACGTTTTTCGGAAAAGATATAAAAAATGCATTTTTTTCAGAAAAGACACCTACATAATATGATGTATATTAATTAACTTAAAAAGCAAAACTTACATTTCGGGAACAATATGAAATAATTTAATTGCAATTTTTATTTTAGCCAATCCAATCCTCGAAGCTTTCGGTAACGCGAAGACAACACGTAACAACAACAGCTCACGTTTCGGCAAGTTCATGGAAGTGCACTTCTCCAACAAATACCAAGTGGTGGGTGGTCATATATCCCACTATTTGTTGGAGAAGTCCAGGATTTGCACTCAGAGTGCAGAAGAGAGGAACTATCACGTGTTCTACCTGCTGTGCGCGGGCGCGCCGCCGGAGCTGCGGGCTGCCTTGAAGATCACCAAACCTGATGATTATTTGGTATGTTTGTTTTATTTTTGACTGATTTTAAAAATGGAGAAGGGATTATAATTTTTGTAATCAAAAAATAATATTCAAAAGTGGTCCTGTATACATTTTAACAAGTAATTCCACGTATAATGGTAGATGATATATTTGTATACAACTCTTTTTAACGTCCCACTGCTGGGAACGGGCTTCCCTTTTAATATAAGTGAGATTAGACCATAGACCACCACGCTAGGCAAGTTCGGGTTAGCGGACATGAAGGTTTTCCTCACGATGTCTTCCTTCAAACAGATTCGGAGATTAGCCCGTACAAACAGACAAACAGACAGAAAAAATAAAAAATTAAATGTGGCACTCGGAGACTGCCGCGGTAAAGCTATTGCATAGCATTTTTTATCAACTTATGCAATTATAATTATTTATTTATTTTATTAGTATTTCACGCCATCTAGTTCCATGGTAAGCTACGAGGCCTGTGTTATGGATACCAGATAGTTGATACACTACACATATATAACTTTAAATACATACATATTATAAATATAAACACCCATGACTGGAGTACAAACATTCGACAACACACAAGTGGATGCCCCCAGCGGGACTCGAACCCGCGACCGCTGGCACAGAAAATAGGGTCACTACAAACAGAGCCAAGCGTGTCGTCAAACATGACTTAAAACATAAATATCAAACTACTATTTTGTTTAGTTGCGCCATCTAGTGACCATATTCTTATAGCTGTGAATAAAAGTAGCGTAAGACAGCTAGTTCGTAGTTTTTATACAAGATAGCACTAGCTCATAAAAATAAACTTTCTCACAAACAGCTGATTACGGTAGTTTTCCAATACAACCAATGCCACCTAAAGGCGGGTTGCTGAACTAAAGAGACAAGCGTGATATTTTAAATAAAACTATCTTTTCGGATTTTTTCGCGAATTTATTTTGATTTTTGGTTCCCGACGTTTCGAATGCTTTACAGCAATCATGGTCACGGGAGAGACTGAGGTGTTAGATGTCTCTAAGGTATTGTATAGTTGTTACAGACAGCCTACCCACAATTAACAAAAATGAATTCAAAAATTGAAAAATGGCACTAAAGTACCTTACAATATTTTAACTTTTAACTTTAAACATTTTTATATAATACAAACGTGATATTTCAAAAAGTCATTAAAAGTTCTGGTATTTATCGATAGATGGAAGTATCACCGCTGTACCGGTTGGAGTGGGGGGTGTCAGGTTTTTTTCGTTACGGAATTTCTGGATTCGGTCCCCACGCTCAAGACCCGCGATAGAAGCTATGCAATAGCTTAAAAATAAAAAAGTCTGAATTTGTTCTACTTCTCTTCTTACATCCCCCTGACGCGGTTTTTAGCATTTTTTTTTTCTATTTACAGACATTCGACCTCTACAGTTTTATTATATGTATAGATGTATAGATAACTACATACATCTATACATATAATAAAACTCTTGTAATTTATTTAGTGTAATTATAACATCCTGTATTTTTTCACACAGTATCTCAAGAATGGATGTACGCAATATTTCACTTCACCACAATCCGAGAAGAAAATAAGCGCTAGTCAAAAGAGCAAACAGCAGCAAGCCAAGGGCGGTCTCAGAGACCCCATTTTGGATGATGTTGAAGATTTTCAGAGATTACACCAAGTAAGTATTTGTATTTTATTAGTTTTTATATTCATTATTATTATAATGATATAATAAATTAACATATAGTAACAATTACATAATACAAAATTTATATGAAGCTACTTTTGCAACAATGCTTCAGCAGCTTCACGTTAAGTCAAGTTTTATGTACACATCTTTGTGAATAATTACACAAAATAATATCATCATTTTATATTTAAATACTATTTTTATAATTATATCAGTATCTTTTACGTTATTTTTGTACATATGACTTATGTATTTCGTAAACGGGTGATCACAATCTTATTAGTCAATACAGTCTCTTAACGAAGGGAATTCGCTCAAGATCGGGATAAGGTGCGGGAAGGGTGCTCTCGAGTGTCATAATATGTGCTTTTATATGAAATTTAGGAGACGAGTATAATGGTAACTAGTTGGCACTTTGGCGTTACAGCGTTTTAATTGCGAAATCGATTGCCATGAAAATCGCAATTTTTTCTAACCATTGAATTTTTTGGTATTTTCTTTTAAGATACAAGAAGATTACTTATTGTATTGATTTTTATGCTATGTTTGGAGTGGAGTGTTAATCAATTTTAGAACAAATCGACTTTCATTAAAGAATTTCATTACGAAATTTCATATCAACGCAACATTCAAAAATATTCGACAAAATAAAAATATGTTATCCCACATGTCAACGTGACCGTTCCAGGCGCTGTCCCGCGTGGGCCTGACGGAGGAGGAGAAGACGTCGGTGTACCGCACGGTGGCGGCGCTACTGCACCTCGGCAACGTGGAGTTCGAGGAGGAGGCGGGCGCGCGCGGCGGCGCCCGCGTGTGCGCGCGCGCCGAGCCCGCGCTGGGCGCCGCCGCCGCGCTGCTGGGCGTGGACGCGGCCGAGCTGCGCCTGGCGCTCGTCTCGCGCCTCATGCAGAGCGCGCGCGGCGGCGTCAAGGGCACCGCCATCATGTCAGTCGCTTTCGTATACTCTGATTACTCCTTCTAAACCACGCAACCAATTTTGGGCACTAGTTTAGTATATGGGACGCGGCCCCTGGAGAAGTGGGTGATATTTTTAGATAGGGGATTTGATAGAGACTCCAAATATATAAAAAGTAGCGACTCACCCTCGCTTCGCTCGGGTTCGTCCCCATACAAACTTTGTTTCCCCATGCAAACTTTCATCCCCATTTTGACCCCCTTAAGGGATGATGAAAAACTATCCTAAGTCCTTCCCAAGGTCTCAAACTATCTTCTTACCAAATTTTATCTAAATCAATTCAATAGATCCAGAGATTACCCCCTACTTATCACCCCCGATACAACGTCACAAACTTTACCTCTTTATAATATTAATATAGATTATTTTGAGGATACATGCATTTTTTTTATTAAATTATAACTTAAGTTAAGTTATTCCTTATAAAATAAAGTATCTGCCAGTAAATGCTCCGTCAAAATCAGGGCAGCCGTTTCGAAGATTAGCCGGAATACACAGACAGACAGATAAAAAAATAAAAATTGTGTTTTTTATAAAAGTGCCATATATAATTTCATAATGTAAGTATGTAAGTCCTCGAGGAAGCTACCAGATGCTCAGAAAATGGTTCCGGTGAGAAGAGCCAGCGAGGAACTCAATAGTTCTTACAACCCGGCTTACACACAGGGTGCCGCTAAAGACGTACGAGGCGTGCAACGCGCGCGACGCGCTGGCCAAGGCGGTGTACAGCCGCCTGTTCGACTACATCGTGCGCCGCATCAACGACAGCATCCCCTCCAGCGCCTCCGCCTACTACATTGGAGTGCTCGATATTGCTGGCTTTGGTAACTTATATTTATTTATACTTCAATAATTCAAATTTCTTTGTATTAGCATCAAAAGGTGCCAGTTGAGAAAAATGTGCCAGTTGAGAAGATTACTTACGTTTTTTATGAGTTTTTATTCAGAATCTTTCGTTTTATAGCAAACAGCTATTGATTTTTAGCTTTACAGCAAACCAATCAAGTGATCGTGTTTAATTTAAGTCATTAATCAACGAACAACCTCTGTTCTTAACATTTACATTTATTTCCAAACATGTTTATTTATTTAAATAGTAAACTTGGGACCTTTACTCTTTAATATATTCATTAATGATATCAATAGATGCTTTTTAAATTCAAATATATTATTGTATGCAGATGATACAAAAATATTCAAAATTATATAATACTAGCGGCTCACCCTCACTTCGCTCGGGTTCACCTCTAGAAAAGCACAAACAGATCTATCCCACGGGAACCGTTCATTTTTCCGGGATAAAAATAAGTAATCTGTTGTTTGACCGGCAATATAAGGTATCAGTATGCCAAATTTTACTAAATTAGGTGCATAAGTTGTGGTGTACTGAGCTGTATAAGTTACTATAATTTTTTAACTATCCCACAGGAACTCTTTAATTTTCCGGAATGAAAAGTATCAAATTTCATTTAAATAGGTTCAATAGTATCGGAGATTAGCCCGTACGAACAGACAAACAGACAGAGAAACAAAAAAATTGAAAAAAATCTGGTTTGTTCTATTTCTCTTCTTACGGGATGTAAGAAGAGAACTGCCTTCTTGCATCCCGTAAGAAGAGAACTGACTCGTTTTTTAGCAATTATTTCTACCATCTATGTACAGACATTCGACCTCTACAGTTTTATTATTCATATATGTACCTATATTCAGATAGAATAAATAAAACAGAAATATATAATAATGAAAATAGTTATAGCAAGTGTACCTTAGGAGATAGACATATAATATCGTATGTAGAACTTTTCTATAGACATTTTTAAGCCTTACAATTTTCTTGTACAATGTTTTGATCTATCTCTTAAGGTTGAACCAACGTTAGCCATATAAATTTCTAAGGACAATTCGATAGAACCAGTTATTGTATTTTCCCGTGGGAATGAATAATTTGCCTGTCGTAAAAAGTATTCTAAATGTTGACCCGAGCACTAAGTTTTATCACTATACAAAATGAAGTTAAAATCGGTTGAGTACTTTTTGCGTGAAACGCGCACATCGATTTGACTAAGTTTTATTATAGGTATAGATAAGAATAAATATTGCGAGTGTAACTTAGGAGATAGACATATACTATTCAGAACTTTTCTGTAGGTCTTTTCAAGACCTACAATTTTTTAGTATATTGTTTTGATGTATGTCTTAAGGCTTAGCCAGAGAAAGGTTTCTAGGGAGCACTCGATAAAACCAGTTATTACATTTTCCCGTGGGAAAGAAAGATTTTCTTTAAGTAAAAGGTATCTAGGCAGTGGTATCCCAGTGGTAACGCGCTCGCTTGGGAAACCGAGTGAAGCAAGTTCAAATCCCGGGTCTAGCACCTCTGATATTGGCCAGCGTGGTGGACTATGGCCTGATTCACCTCGTACTGAAGGGAGGCCCGTGCGTGTGTTAAAATGGGCTGAATACAACATACATACATACATACAAAAGGTATCCTAAATGTTGACTCGAGTAATAAGTTATCACTTCACCAAATTTCGTTGAAATTGGTACATTACTTTTCGCGTAAATCGCGCACACAAAAACAGACAAACAGACATACAGGCAAATAGACAAACAGACAATTTTTTTAATAACTATTGTTTTGGGGTCTATGTTGTGTACATAATACGTTATAAATAAACAAAAACATCTATCCCACGGGAAAAGTACGTTTTTCCGGGATAAAAGTTACCTATTTGTTATTCTGACGTATGAACTATATTATTATAAAGTTTCATCAAAATCCAATCAGTGGTTTTGTGTACTAAGCTGTATAAGTTACTATAGTTTTTTGACTATCCCACGGAAATTCTTTAATTTTCCGGGATGAAAAGTAGCTTATTTGTTTTTGTTATGTATGAACTATATTATTGTAAAGTTTCATTAAAACCCAATCAGTAGTTTTTGTGTACTAAGATGTATAAGTTGTTATAGTTTTTTAACTATCCCACGGGAACCCTTTAATTTTCCAAGATAAAAAGTATCTAAGATGTTGCCCGGAGATATAAGGTACCACCATGCAAAATTTCATTTAAATAGGTTCAATAGATCCGGAGATTAGCCCGTACAAAGAGAAAAACAGATAAACAGCTCGCTCGGGTTCGTCCATACATACGAATATGTTGTATTATCTCTTTAACCATTTGTCCAAATTATATGCAGTAAAAGGGAAAAGTCTTTTATTTTAAGCATTTAAGACGATAAATTTACTTATTTTGAGAAGAATTCATAATTGTTGATAATATGACCAATAAACATGACCTACCGATTTAAATTACTTTTTTAATATAAAAAACTACTTTTTGTGACTTAAATATAAAAGTTAGACATATGCTGTCGCTGACTTTTTTGTAGGCATTATTAAGTTCTACAACTTTTCTCTAGAACATAATCATATATCTCTCATCGTTAAGGCAGCGTTCGTAAGAAACGTTTCCGTTCGACCGTTTTTTCTCCGACTTACTTTGCAAATCCAATTACCACGAAAAAGCCTTTTCATTTTTCGGGTTAATATATAGCCTATGACACTGAGAAAGAACGTGGCTTTCTATTGGTAAAAGAATTTTGAAAATCGGTTCAGTAGATCCAGAGATTACCCCCTACAACGTCACAAACTCACAAACTCACAAACTCACAAGATCACAAACTTTACCTCTTTATAATATTAGTATAGATAAGCAAGATTGTGCTGGCCTGCAAGACGATCTAAATAGACTCGAACAGTATTGCAGATCCAACAGTCTATATTTGAATTTAGAAAAATGCTACACAATTACTTTTTCAAGAAAAAAAAATCCAATTTCTTATAACTATTCAATCTCGAACGCTAATTTAAAAAGAGTAACAGAGGTAAGGGACCTTGGAGTCCAGCTGGATAGTAAAATCATATTCGATCATCATATAAATCATGTAGCAACTAAGTCATATCAGATGCTGGGCTTTATATTTAGGCAAGGGGCAGATTTTAAAAATGCTCATACACTAATACTGCTATATAATGCTTATGTTAGGGCTAATCTGGAATACGCGTCTACAGCTTGGAATCCACAATATAATAAATATATTGACTTAATTGAAAAAATACAAAATAAATTTTTAAAAAGATTAAAAAAAAGATTTGGCTCTGCTTCTTTTAGTAATACTACTTCCCTAGAAAAGCGTAGAGAACAAAGAGATCAGCTCTTTCTTTACAAAATAATTCATAATTTAGTTGACTCTCTATTAAATAAAATATCATTTAATTGCCCTAGACATGGCACTCGTTCTCAGGCTACTTTCTTTACCGCTGTCTCAAGAACAAAGTATTGTGACAATTCATTTATTGTAAGATCCTGCAATATGTATAATAAGCAATATCATGACATCGACTTATTCAATAATGGGTTCAAAAAATTCGCTCACTTATTAAAAAAAAAACCATAAATTTTGTTAATGTTTAGTATTTTTGTTTTTTGTTCGATTTATTCCTGTTAATTTTAAGTTCACTTCGTTTATGTTTTTTTTTGTGGAAACTTTATTGGCTTAAGTTTTTTGTTTAGAAGTGTTTAACTAAATCTTATTTACTATACGCTGTATGTTTCCCAATGATAAATAAATAAAATAAATAAATAAATAAATAAATAATAATGAAAAAAAAAAATAGAAACGTTAAATGAAAATTAAAGAAATAAAAACTTAATTGATAGTAACTTAATTCCGAACCAGTTTGGTTCATCTAAAATACCCTCAATTACTTTTATAACTCTACTAACTCTTTAACTTAATGTAAAGACCCTTTGTATATAGCAGACGAACATACATTTATTATTACACATAACTAACAAATGGTTTTTAATTTCAGAATACTTCCAACAAAACAGTTTCGAGCAGTTCTGCATCAACTACTGCAATGAGAAGCTGCAACAGTTCTTCAATGAACGTATCCTCAAGAACGAGCAAGAGCTGTACAAGCGGGAAGGGCTGAATGTCCCCGAAATAAGATTTGTGGACAACCAGGATTGCATAGGCAAGTATATTGAACGTAGTCAATAATCATGTCGAAATATACAACAAATTTTAGACAAGTTTAATTGTCTCATTATTTGTAATATATGTACAAACTTTCGTCCCCATTTTCACTCCCTTAAAGGATGATTTCCGGAATAATAATATCCTATGTCCTTCCCAGGGTTTCAAACTATCTTCTTACCAAATTTCATCTAAATCGGTCCAGTAGTTTTTCAGTTTATTCATTACAAACATACAAAAATACAAATCCCAAATACCCTTTATAATATTAGTGTAGTTTTGAAGTAGCTGTAGCTTATATAAATGTGACCATTATAGAATTTATTTGCACTGTTTTTATGAATGTATGTATATGAATATTGAATATGTATATACTTATGTATGTATTGAGTTATGGACTTACTAATAAAACAAAACACTTCACTTTATGACTTTTTATATAACTTTTAACTATAGTACCCGGGCTACCGAGCTTCGCTCGGAGTTTTTGGCCTGAAGTACATTTTTCTTTAATAAAAAAAAAACAAAAATCTTGAATAAATATAAAAAAAGAAAACAAAAGTAAAAACTTTGTATGCGACCGAGATTCGAACCTGGACACCTGTGATTGTTGATCTTGCATCTTGGCCGATTGACCACGATGATTATGCCCGAGTGTACAAATTACCGACTATATTTTGCGTGGAATAATGCAAAAGAAAACTCCATGAAAACTCGAAAACTATAAGACTATAAGAAAAGATATAAGACTAATCTAAATCGATTTATCGCCCCCGAAACCGCCTGTATACTAATTTTCATGAAAATCGTTGGAGCCGTTTCTGAGATTCAGATTATATATATACAAGAATTGCTCGTTTAAAGATATAAAAGATAACGATCATTAGGAAGGTCTCACACAACCGAATGTTAGCACTTCAAGAGACAGATGATAATAGAGACAAAATAGCAAAGTTACACAGTTTATATACGCTAAGCCAATTAGTCATAAAAACTGCTTATTAAATTAAGATTAATTTTTGAATATTAAAATGAAGTCAATAAAACCAACAGTATGTGTATATTGTATAGAGGAATTGCATTGTTTATATAGCAAGTACACCACCCACTATTTTATATATTGATTCCTCTTCCCTAAAGTTGTCTGTCTGGAAGAGATAGCGTATCGTATAAATCAACATGATTTAAAATTACACATGAACATTTTAGATCTCATCGAAAGTAAGAATCACGGTATCTTCCATTTCTTGGACGAAGAATCGAAACTGCCTAAGCCGGAGTTCGGTCATTTCACGAACTCCGTACACCAGGAGCTCGGCAATAACAATGCAAGGTAAATTATATAATGTAATTAATCATTAAAATAATAGCGGGGGTAGAGCACTTTTGAGTTTTTTTTATTGATTATTAATACCTGTTATGTAAAAGTAATTATAAAACTTATACGTGTGCCTGTTCCCAGTTCCCGGCTGCAGGTGCCGCGCGCGTCGCGTCTGAAGGCGCACCGCACGCTGCGCGACCACGAGGGCTTCCTGCTGCGGCACTTCGCTGGCGCCGTCTGCTACAACACAGTGAGCACACACACACACGCGCACACATACCCGCCGACACATGCACACGTACACACACATATACGCATATATTTTTTTTATTTGTTGATTATGCCATACCATAAAAAGCAAAATAACTATTCAATATAAAATCTATACTTCAATCACATTATTCTTAAACAAAATATTCCTTCCTCTACAGAGTCAATTCATAGAGAAGAACAACGACGCCCTCCACGCCTCGCTCGAGTTCCTCATACAGGAGTCTAACAACACGCTGGTGCAGCAGCTGTTCGAGAATATGGACAATAACAACGCTAAAGGCAAACTGAACTTTATATCCGTGGGCGCTAAGTTCCAAAGTCAATTGACTCAATTGATGGAAAAGCTGAAGGAAAACGTGAGTTATTATTTTCTTAGTAATAGGATATTTTTTAATTTACAGTAGATTGTTTGAATATTCTACACGTTCATTTTAAATAAGTCAATATACATTAAAGTATTGTTTTACAAATTAATCCAAATCGTTGCTTTTTCCGAAATACACGAAATAAACTTATGTATAAATATGTAAGAAAGGGGAATATGCGTATGATTTAATCAAAATGATTTTTTTTCTTTTATTATCTTTATTGCTTTTGAATTAAGCTTATATCAATATTTTTTCTAATGTAATTTCTTTTTATAATTTTATTTTAATGTCATTTGATCTCTTGTAGATTAAAAAAATGATTATTAAATAGTGCAAAAATAGGTGGCAAATTCATAGTAGTTGAAATGCACGCGGTTAGTCCGTCAGAGTATCTCATAACAGAAATATTAGCGGTTTTGTCGCTACAAATTGAGTCGTCATTTCTCTTTGTATATTATACTGTGACGTCACGCCGGCGCGCGAAATGGCGAGCTTTTAAAGTATCTGTAATGGTGTGAGATTTAAAAAAAATACTAAATTTTAGTTTTTCTGATATTTTTTTTCTATTATATTATAACGGTTTAAGCTTATGTATAAAGAATAAAATAAATCGCATATTCCCTATCGTTGATTTAATATATAATATAAGATAAATATATACAACATATATACAGATAAATAAAATTGAAGTGTCCGTTTGTAATGTCAAAATAACAGCGTTTTACTATATTAAAAAAATTAAAACGTACCTAGTATTAAAATATAGGTGAGTATATTGTATATTGTGTATTCTGTAGGGCACGAACTTCATCCGCTGCATCAAGCCCAACTCGCGCATGGTGGGGCGCGCGCTGGAGCCGCCGCTGGTGCTGGCGCAGCTGCAGTGCAGCGGCACCACGGCCGTGCTCGCGCTCATGGAGCACGGCTTCCCCTCGCGCGCGCCCTTCGCCGGCCTCCACCACATGTACAAGGGCTATCTGCCCCCCAAGCTCTGCAACCTCTCGCCCAAGCTCTTCTGTCAGGTTAGTGCTCCTTTCAAACTTATTTATTTCATTGTTACAAATGTATCGTTAAGGTGTAATTTGTGCTTAAAAATATTTGGAAATTAGTTCGCAATTGGGGAAGATATCGTGTAACACACTCGAACGAAAAATTTTTGAAATTGGGAGAACCTATAGAACCTATCAATTTAAGCTCTGTGTACTCCTAGTATTTATAGCGATTCTTAGTGATTCTAAATTTGAATTTTAAAAAAGAAAGGGTTTCAGCCCTTATATAAAGTGAAAGTAATTTTTTATTATTATTTTTTATTGATTTTCTTTTTTTTTTCATTTTAGTATTCGACATACGGTTATGTTATCTTTTCATAATATGATCCAAAAGTGAGGAATTCTTACCATTAAAATATTATATTTTAATTTTCTACAAATGCAAATAAAGCAAAATACGAACTAAGCATGGCCTTATGTACTTATATTTAAAACATTTTCCCCCAAAAAAAAAACACTTTTTATCTCCAGAAAATAGTTATGTGGTTTGTGAAGTCATTTCATAATCGCTAAAAATGCACATTATCACCTTTTTCGTTAATTGATATAGAACTACCCTGAAGATTAGATATTTTCGTTCCTTTCGAACTATACCAAAAACATAGCAAACCCGCAGGCAATAGTGCACAGCCTGGGCCTCTCGGACAAGGACTACAAGTTCGGCGTGACGCGCGTGTTCTTCCGCCCCGGCAAGTACTCGGAGTTCGACAGCATCATGCGCTCGGAGCCCGACAGCCTGCGCGCCATCGTGGGCGCCGTGCTCGCCTGGCTCGTCAAGAGCCGCTGGAGGAGAGGCATATTCTCCGTCGTTTCTATTATTAAATGTGAGTTTGGCTTTGGTCTTTAATCTATACTAATATTATAATAAAGAGGAAAGACTTTTTTGTTTGCCTATCGATAGGCTCCGAAACTACTGAACCGATGTAGATGAAATTTAGTAAGAATATAGTTTGAGAAAGGACAGGACATAGAAAGTTTATTTAAAGTTCAACGTCCCACCGCTGGGCATTGACTTTCACTCAATGCGAGGGGGATAAGGCTATAGCCCACCACGCTGGCCAAGTGCGGGTTTTTTTTTAATAAAAAAGCAACATCCACTGGCTCAATGGCTACATGAAGGAATTGCTAATTAGCGATAAGATCGCCTTTTGTGCATGTTTTCTATATTTTGTTTTTCCATGTTTATTTTATTACTGTGGTGTACAATAAAGTGTATATAAATAAATAATTACGCATTTTTTTGTATATTCTAACAAAATTATAAAAATAGTCAGACTCGGGGTAGGTGTGCAAAAAGTAGTAACACATATTTTTGTTAGCTCCTTTTTACTTATTTAATTAAAATCATAATAACTCTTATCTAATTACAAGTTATGTGCTAAAAGTTAGAAACCTACCAGCCACAATTCCTTAAGTAATTTCCATAAGAGTACTTTGCCTCTACACCAAATAAATCCAGTATTTGTTGCACTACTACTTGGTTGTGACACTTTCATACAATGGATTCAATCAAGCAATCCCTTAATGACCTGGCACATCACTTTAACACCACAATGGCTGAGTTCCAGCAGAACTTGAATACTTCAATTCCAGCAACAAGTCCAACCTCAAACATAGCGGCGCAATTTAGTACATTTCGAACCTTTGTGCTCTCGGCGCTTGAAAATCTTCAGCAGCAAGTAAATCACCTCTCTAAACAACAAGATCATCTTGATATGAATACTAGAAAGAAAATCCTTTTAGTACATGGTGTTCCGGAAGCTAAAAATGAAGATGTGACTGCAGTAATGGTCAAACTTCTATCTGACCGCCTTGACTTGCCAGACCTTTCAATAGAGGATATCAGCCGTTGTCATCGCATAGGAAGCTCCAAAGTAGACAAACATCGCGTAGTCCTTATCAAATTTAAGCGGTTGTTGATCAGGAATCAGGTTTGGTATGCTAAAACCAAACTTAAAAATACAGGTACAACCATATCCGAATTTCTCACTAAAACCAGACATGACGCCTTCATGGCTGCTAGGCAGCGCTTTGGTGTCTCCAAATGCTGGACAAGGGAAGGAGTCGTATTTGTTATTACGCCCAGTGGAACTCGACATCGCATTAGTTCGCGTTCGGAGCTCGACAATATTCCCGGACCAACTGACGTCCATGTGCCAGCTGCTAATACTGGTGCCGCGTCTACTCTCACATCTTCAAAAGCAAGAGCAGCTGCACCAACGCAAGTGAACCGGGCCAGGCGCAACATCAAGAAGTGATAATGATGTTTTGTTGTATGTTACGGGTAAATCACATTTATACTAGTTGTTTCTATATAATCCCTGTTTCGCATTCTAACTTTACTATTTGTACGAATAATCTTGTTTCAATATGGAATACCCGCAATTATTTACTCGGTTTGTTGTGTATACCGTAAATTTTTAGTTCTTACAATTTTGAAATAACTTAATAACACTGTCACAGACCACAGCCTAACTGACAGCTGACAGCGTCATAATACGTTCCGTTCTAAAATCTAAATTTAGCATATCAAATGCCCTTTACAAAGATTAAAAATGTTAGCCTAAATATTAAATCTTTTTTATAATTTACTAATGTATGATATACAGATATCTTTCTTCTTTTTTTTTGTTAAGTTAATTCGAGACCAAACTCTTGCATTTTTTATATTTGTTAATTACTTTCCCGTTAATCCACACAAAATGTTGCTTAGCTTTCGCTACGACACTGTTTACATTTTGTTGCGTTCAGGTTTTTTTTTTGTACTATTTTTTTTCTATGTTAGTTTTATTAAAATACCTTACTTGTAATTAAGGTATTTCTCACTATTATTGTGTATAGGCAATTTGTATAAGGGTATGGCTGGTGGGTTAGCAAATGACACAGTTTTATTTTACTATCTTATTTTATTTATTATTATTATTATTAATATTCTATATTTTTTATATTTTATTTAGTATATATTTTATTATTATTTTATAGCATTATATCAGTATGACGAATAGTGAAAATGATAGCACTACAGACGACGACATTTATCTTCCTTGTCATTCCTCATCATCCGACGACGCCAGTTTCCTCAGTTCTTCCATTCCTCTCAATGAAACCTTACACTCCACTTTTTCTCATTATTCAAAGAGCTTCAATGTTGCCCATATTAATGCGCAGAGTATCCCCGCACACTACCCGGACCTATTAAGTACGTTTGACGTTAAAGACTTACATGCGATCTTAGTCTCGGAAAGTTTCCTTAAACCTTGTCTTCCTTCTACTTCGTACGCCTTGCCGGGTTTTCATCTGATTAGAAACGATAGAACTGACAAAGGTGGTGGAGGGGTAGCTATTTACTTACGTTCACACATTCCTTTTAATATTTTAAGTAAATCTCCCTCTCAATACACTGAGTCAGCTGAATATATTATAATTGAGGTCCTTTTCGGTTGCCTGAAACTTCTGTTGGGAGTCTTCTATAGTCCATCAATGCGCGTTGACTACTTTGATGAATTTGAGGTCTTAATGGAGAGACTTATCCCAGACGCTGATCACTCTATAATCATGGGGGATTTTAATACCTGTTTGATTAAAGATGACTTACGAGCAAAGCGGTTGAACAGCATCATCAATGGCGCTAATCTTAATATTGTCAACTCTATAGTGCGACTCATTTTTTTCCTGATTGCACTCCTTCGTTGCTGGATCTGATGATTGTCTCTTCACTTGATCTCGTCAATGTGCATGGACAGCTCTCAGCTGATGCGTTCTCATACCACGACCTAATTTATCTGTCCTATAAAATACGTCCACCCAAAGCCAAACCTACGGTGGTTATGCGACGCAGCTTTAAGCACTTTAATAACGACAGCTTTATGAATGATCTCAGTTTGATTGACTGGAATTCTGTTTTAAACGCCTCGTCCACAGATGATAAGCTGAATATTTTTAATTCCATACTGACGGAGTTGTTTGATATTCATGCTCCACTTAGACCAATTAAAATTAAACATCTTCCGGCACCTTGGTTGACACAGGAAATTAGAGTGCTAATGGTCAAACGTAATAGGGCTAAGTCCAAATATAAAATTAACCCCACAGCCGATAATCTGCTTAAATTTAAGCATTTGCGTAACAAATGCAATAGATTCTGCCGAGATGCTCAACGCGAATATGTTCATGCTTCAGTGGAAAATAAAGACTCTGCCAGAGTATGGAAATTTTTAGATGCTATGGGTATTGGTAAGGATCGTAAAGCCTCACTCTTCACTGGTAATATTGACTTGGAAGCTCTTAATACACATTTTGCTACAGTTCCTTTAATAGAACATACTATAAAGGCTAACACTCTTTATTCCCTTGCTCTTGGTTCTAAGCCTAACACTACGCTTTTTAATTTTTCACCTATTTCTCCTAAGGAAGTTAAGATGCATATAATGGCTATAAAATCTGATGCCATTGGTAGCGATGGAGTAAGTCGAAAGATGATTCTCTTAGCTCTCAATCATATACTTACAGTTCTCTGCCATATCTTTAATCATTCTCTCTCTTCAAGTACCTTTCCTAGCTGCTGGCGTTCAGCTTACGTTATTCCTATTCCTAAAATTTCCAATCCTTCATCGTTTTGTCACTATAGACCAATTTCTATACTTCCTTTTCTTTCTAAGGTGCTTGAACGTGTAGTTCACAGCCAACTGTCATTACATCTTTCAAAGCATAATTTGCTCAGTCCCTACCAATCTGGATTTCGACCTGGACATAGCACGACCACTGCTCTGATTAAAATCTGCGATGACATAAGGAATGGGATTGACAATCAGCAAGTTAGCATAACTGCTTTATTAGACTTCTCAAATGCTTTTAATACTGTAGACTTCGACATCCTCTTAGCAATCCTTGAGTCAATGAATATTTCATTGGGTGCTGTTGACTGGTTCCGTTCATATCTCTTTGATCGCAAGCAATGCATTCGTGTCGAGGACAAGCACTCATCTTTCTGTTACCTTAAAGCGGGTGTCCCTCAAGGCGGTGTCCTTTCTCCTCTCCTTTTTTCTATCTTCATCAACTCCATAACTGAGCTTCTCTCCTTACCTTTTCACCTTTATGCTGATGACCTGCAAATTTATGTAACAACACCCATAGATGGTCTTCACGATGCCATAGCCAACCTCAATACTAATCTCAATACTGTAAGTACATGGAGTAAATCGTTTGGGTTATTTCTAAACGCGAGTAAGTCGCAGGTATCCCTATTTGGTTCTCGTCAGCTAGTATCCAAAATTAATATGTCATCCCTTTCACCTATTTTATTCGACGGGACTAGACTGCAAATTCGCAGCTCGGTTAAAAATTTAGGCCTTATAATGGACAATTCCTTATCTTGGGTGCCTCAGATTTCGGAGGTAAGCAGAAAGTTTTTCGCTGTAATTGGTCGGTTGAGGAGGTGGAAGAAATTTTTGCCAATAAAAACTAAAGTATCCCTAGCACAATCCCTTCTCCTTCCTATACTTGATTATGCCGATACATGCTATCCCGACTTGTCGCAGATTCAACTCAATAAACTGGAACGTTTGCAAAATATGGCAATCCGATTTATCTATGGCTTAAGAAAATTTGACCACATTTCTCAATATCGAGCTCAACTTAAATGGCTCACCGTTAAGCAGCGACGGAACTTGCATATCCTTACTCTCCTATACACTATCCTCTTTCACTCCCACACTCCTCCTTATCTTAAAACAAGGTTCAATTTCCTTGGTTCTATCCATTCCCTAAACCTTCGCTCGCAAACCGACAACAAATTAGCATTGCCCGTCAGTCGCACCCAAAGCTATGGCGACTCGTATACAGTAAAGCTGCAATATTATGGAATGCCTTACCACAGGACATTCGCCAGTCGGAATCGGTGCAAGTATTCAAACGTCGTCTTAAACACTACTATTTGTCGCTATAAGTCTATGTATATTTATGTAAGCCCTGTTTATGTAAGTTTATTGTAGAATATATATGTTTATTGTTTATACTTATATATTATAATATATATTTATGTATGTCCTTATCGATATTTATGTAAGCTTGTGTGTACTTTATAGTATGTACCGTTTAAGTAAGTTTATTATAGACTAGTTCTTTTTTTTTTTTTGCACCAACCATAATCCATGTCACCCTATGAGTTTCTTTATAATATAGGTTGCCTGGAAGAGATCACTTTAGTGATAAGGCCGCCTTTACACTAATATTAGTTAAGTTATATATTCTTGTATATTGTATTTTTATTTTTGGTGTAATAAAGGATTAATAAATAAATAAAATAAATAGTCATTTACAGTAAATAACATATTATCTATAATAATATTAAAAATAGGTAAAGTTTGTGAGTTTGTGGCGTTGTAGGGGGTAATCTCTGGATCGACTGAACCGAATTAGACGAAATTTGGTAAGAAGATAGTTTGAGACCCTGGGAAAGACATAAGATCTTATATCCCGGAAATCATCCCTTTAGGGGGTGAAAATGAGGATAAAAGTTTGTATTACGAAGGAAGCAAGGTGAGTCGCTAGTTATTTATATTTGGGGAAATATTAATTTGCACTTTATTCTCATTGCAGTAAAGAACAAGATTCTGTACCGCCGCAAATGCCTGCTGATCGTGCAGAAGAACGTTCGCGGCTACCTCGTGCGCCGCCAGCACCGCCCCAGGCTCCAGGGCATTGCGAAGATCAAGCTTTTAGAAAACAACTTAACTCAAATGGACTCAGTTGTGTCCCAATTGAAGAAGGAGAAGGAAAACGCTAAAAAGAATATAGAGAATTTGAGGAAGTCCATACAAAATGCGTGTGTTACTATTAAGGTTTGTATTATTAATGAAACATTTGATTACAAAATGTGATCGCTGTTAATTTTAATCATAGGTGCGATTACCGAACGAGATTCATTTTTCTACTGTCTCACTAAGTATTGAGTAGTTCATAACTCAGAATATAAATGGAGAGCTAAAAAACACAGTAAAATAATTCTTTGAAATAATAAAGTTAGTGTTTCAATAAACCTTAATCCGTAAAAACACAAATTTTCACATTTATATAACTCAATTTTTAGGGCAATGAAAAAATAAGCCGCGAAGAAATAGATAAGTTGTACACAAAACTAACCAGGGAGGTGGAAATGCAGATGGGCGCGCTACAGAAAGCCATGATCGATCAAAAGAACAGGTATGGTTCATATTTAATGGTTGGAATTAAATTTTATTTTTCTAAAATACATATATGATTAATAAAAAAAATCCCAATTATTGCCTCTCAGCGACAAAAAATGTCTTCATCGATTGTGTGCGCTTTTAATTTTTTTTTGTGAAAACGATTTTAAGCATTTTATTTAAGGTTCAGTTTACATTGTTATATTTTTTTCAACAAGAATAATCACCTAAACACAATTGGTGACAGTTTTAAGAGAACTTTTGCATGGGATTATGTATCTAGTACTTTTTTGATTGATGCTCAGCTCAGCAATAGAAGAAACATCAAGTTTGGTTATGAGTTACTCCTTACTATTCCTACTTTATATGCTCATGTCATAATATATATATATATATATATATATATATAAGTTGTGTTAATTACACCATTTATAACTCAAGAACGGCTGGACCAATTTTTATGATATTTGATTTTTTTGTTTTCTCTTAGCCCGGAATAGATTAATAAGTATCAAAACATCAAAAAAATTAATGAAAAAAAAACTTATTATTTATTTCTATTTAAAACGTACCTAGCGACGAACCCGAGCGAAGCGAGGGTGAGCCGCTGTGTAATATATGAATAACTTATAATCAAACTGTTGATGTTTCTTCTGCCAATTGTCAGCCAGATAAATTTCATTGAATTTAATTATTTTTTTGTGCTATTGTCTTCATCCACGAAAGTTTCTATTCATGACTATTTAAATTGATAGTGAATTAAAAAAAATGAAATAAATATATTTTTATCGTCACTATTTATCAGGGATGAACAAGAAAGGCTGCGGAAAATCGAAGCCGAGATGCGCGCCGCGGAAGAGGCAAAACGAAAAGAGCAAGAAAGGATAAAACAGGAAGAAGAAAATCGTCGACTGTGAGTATTCATACTAATGAAGTAATATGATATGTTTGATATTTTATAGATCATAGAAGAGTATAATCATAGAAGAGATTGATTTAAGTAGTTTTAGTAATTAGAATTTATTAATTATATTTTTTCCACAAATTCATATATTTAACGTAAACATTTTGTTTTGAACAAGGCTCTCAAATCAAATATATTTTGGTGCATCTATGTTTTTCGATAGCTTCGCCTAATATACATATTATACAAAAATCCCCGTTATTGAATTAAAAATATATACGAGTATATACCTTAGAGTGGAATGTAATTACATTTTGAAATGATAAAAAAATCATTAACAAACCGCACCATCTTCCACGGTAAGTTACGAGGCTTTTGTTATGGATACCAGATAGTTGATACACTACACATATTATATGTCATGTTAAATACAAACATATTATAAAAATATATAATAAACATTCCAGCAAAGCGGAGATGGAGGCGCGTCGTAAAGCAGAGGAGGCGGAGCGGCTGCGGCTGGAGGCGCAGGACCGCGCCGCCGCGCTCGCGCTGCAGCGCCAGCTCGAGCAGGCCGCGCGCGCCGACCAGGAGAGCAGAGAGAGGTAGGAGGGTTTTTTTTATTGTTGGGACATGCATTTATGTCATACCAGCTGTACACGTACAGGTGGTGACGTAGGACTCACCGGCTAGGAAAGCCTATTAAATCCAACGGAACCTCCCGGCTTTAATGGGGCGTCTTAGGTTCGCTTACGCACTCAACGACGTCTCGACGGCAGGTCTGCCGAAGCAGAACCAAGGGGTTGCTCCCACGGTCCACTCTACTACCAGAGAAGCACCAGGAGCAAACCGCATGGGACGCTGCCCACCGAAGTGGGCCTCCGGGGAGAGGTAAGTGGTGCTGCGCTGGCTGCTGTGCGCTTAAATATTGCGGGTAACGATCGAGTAGTTGATGACATCAATTAATGGCTATATAGAGGGAATTCGCCGTTAGTAGTGCTAATAGTGAGGTCTCTAGAAATATCAAATGACACTGAATGTTAACTGTTTGCGAGCTTTTCATCGTGATTATCGACGATATAACGACAACAATAAGACCTTAGTCGACAGTGCACCGGAAACGATAGGCCTTATTGGGGAGAAGTAGGAATTATTCTAACCGCTGTTGAATATACCACAAATGACTTAATTGGGTAGTTAACAGCACCAATCAATTCATCAATCAATGTATGGGAACATTTGAAACCTTCGAAACAAAATCCGAAAAGATAGTTTTATTTAAAATGTCAAATATTCGCGTAAATCTAAGAAGGTATTACATACTCTTACACTTTTATCAATAATTTGATATCACTAATGTACAATTTCCAGATTGGAACAGGAGCGAAGAGATCACGAGATGGCAGTGCGGCTCGCCAAAGAAACAAACGGACACGTGGAGGGTTCGCCGCCGCAGTTGAGAAGGTATGTACTCGCATATTATACAAAGTGCCTATATAAAAACATATATTATTTAAGCAAACTATATGTTTTATAAAATTTTAATTTTAAGTTAAATATAAAATTTATTTAAGATGATTTTGAATATTTGAAAGTAAAGTTTATAAATTAATAATACCATATTAAAAAATATAAAATAAATAGTGAGTAATTTAAATAATTTTAAGGTATTTTAGACATTTATTGCTATTTATTTATTTATTATGACCTCAAACGCATTTTTATGACAAATGTCAAAATTATTCTTTGTTTGTTATCTGTATATTGAGTTTTCTTTATTTGTTAATTATTTATATATTTGACGTTCAAATAAACTTCTCCAATATTAAATTGCGAATATTACTATAATAATGCTTTTATTTGATTCAATACAGAAAATCAAATTTGCTTTTACTTCTTAAATTCTAATTCAAGTCTGCTTAAGTCGAAACGAAAGAAATAAAACTGCTTTACCTATATAATATCACTGTTTAAAAACTCCAATAGGATCTCATCAAAAGCTACAATAGTCACATAGAAACCAATAAATATTTGGTTTCTATGTGGCTTTTGATGAGATCCTATTGGAGTTTTTAAATAGTGTAGTTAGCACATCTCCATTGAATATTCTATACAATTTATTCTAATGTACTTTAGGTTAAATTTCTTGTTTTTATTCATTGATGCGCCATATCACATTACATACTACTTTTTTTTTTTTTTTAATTTATAAATAAATATAAATTTATTTTTATTTGGCATAGATTGGTGTTTATTAAACCTATAAAATATACATATAATAAAATTGTAACTGATCGCTGTCTGTACATGAAAGATATTCGAGAAAAAATATTATTGGGAGAAAAAATATTATTAACGCCATGGAACACAAAATAATGATTTTTAGAATTTTTCTGTCTGTCTGTTTATCTGTGTGTGGTTGTAGTTGTAGTCTGATTGTCTGTGCGTTTGCGCGCTAATCTCAGAAACGGCTTGACCGATTTGAATGCAGTTTTCACTAATGTATTGTGGTCGTTTAAACTTCACTTAACAATGTTAACATTTAATATTTATTTTATTTAAATCGGTTCATAAATAAAAAAGTTATGTCAATTAAAATAATCTAATAAAATAGAATGTAATAAAATTACACTATAATAATATTCCTATAAAGTTCACATCAAATGACAGCGCTCAGAACAATAAGCTCAAGCTTGAAGCTTAGACTATTTTCCCATACAAAGTTTCATTAAAGTCTGTCTAAACTAGATTATTGAATTTAGCTTTTTTCACTACCCAAATAGGTACCTTCCAAAAGTATAAAAATAAATATAATACATAAATTTTTTATAGTTATTATTAGGTATACAACTTTGCTTCCGCCGTTTTTTTCCAAAATTCAAAGCTTTATTGTAAAAAAATTGATTATACATTTATGTTTCAAAGTATCGTCCATTGTTTTCTACTACGTGTTGAAAAAAACTGGTCATCTTTTGAAGCGATCCATGAATCGATCCAATTTTGGACTTCTTCATAAGACTGAAAGTACTAGTCCGTCAGGCCGTGTGCCATGGATCGGAATAGTTGATTGTTAGGGGGAGCAACGTCTGGAGAATACGGCGGCTCTTGCGATTGTTTCAGACGCTTTTAACAGCTTATAATATATTACACCGAGCTGGTCCCACCAAACACAGAGCATGACCTTGAAGCCGTGAACATTCAATCGTTTCCGTTTTTGCCTTTCAAGCAGAAGTTCACTAATACAGAAACGTCGTTCAACATCTCTAGGCTTCAACTCATATGGCACACAATATCCTTGCTTCTGGATCATTTCCAGATTGTTTAGGCATTTTTAAACTGTTTTTTGGCTCACTTGCAATGATCTTGCCAACTCCTCTTGACTTTGACACGAATCTTCAATGAAAATGACGACAATTCGGCTCATAAGTTGACATTTTTATTCGAGAATAACTATATGATGTAAACACAAATCAACTACTGTTGCTATTAGGTTATGTTCACGAGATACTAAAGAGTATTTTAAATCATCCATAATGTATGTACTCGACGTCTAATTGTCGCTAGCGCCATCTTTAAAAAACGGCGGGAACAAAGTTGTATACCTTAATATATTTTTTTTATATTTGTGTGGAATATAGCTAGTAGATATGTGAAATGGCGACATTTTATTTATAAATGTATAGTGTCCGACCGAAACTAGATTCTAGAACTAAAACCGAAATCAAAATTGAATTTCGGTTTTTGTTTCAATTTAGTCCGAAACCGATATTAAACCGAAACTTTAACATAGTACCGAAACCGAAAGTTCGGTCGGACACTAAATAAAATAATTATTAAGCCACTGAGCGTTGTACATAGCTTGTACACGGTAGTAATGTGTGTGTTTCGCGCAGCCACGCGGACCTCAACGGGGAGAATAAGTTAAACAGGTACTATGACGTCATACCTTCGTATAATACTCCGCCATAGCATGTCTGCTCTACTTAGTCATGCTACGCTCTTTTCATACTTTGTTTTCTTGTGTTTTTTTATCTCTTTTGTGTTGAGTATTTAGTGTAAATCTATTTAGTAGGTATAGATTGAATAAGTAATTAGTGTTAAATAAAAAAAACATGGGTGTTTGTAACCTTTACACTCAGTTAAAGTAAAACTTCTTTGGCAAATATCGCAATAAGATTATAACAAATCAATAAAAATTAAATTTTAATATTAGGTATATTACAATCATATATTCATAGAATATCATTTAAGGAAAGAATATAATATTTATTATATATCGTTTGTCAGACAATAACAACGGTCACCATGGCAACAAAAGTTTGCTTCGCTCGATCACACTTTTCGTAACACTCTCGTCACGCATTCACCAGTTTACTCCCCAAGAAGTGTGCATAAAGAAGTTTTACTTCAAAAATCTAGATTCTACGTACATAATAAAAATATAGTAGCGACGTTTCAATTATGATTTAAGGAATAAGATAAATTTTGTTCGTTTTTTTTCAATTTCATTACCTTTAAAATTTAATTTCATTAGGTAAGTAATGTCAATATCAATTATTTAGTCAACAACATGAAAATTAATTTTTAATTTGAGCAAAGTATGTAAAGAGGAGCTGGCTCTTAACAAAACTAACTTCTAACACTTCGGCTATTGCTTTCTATTTCTATTTGCACGTAATTTTTATTGTTAATGACGCAATTTTGTATCATCAACTGATGTTTATACATTTGTACAGTTCTTATTGCTTTATATTTTAAATTATAATTATAATTAAATATATATATATATATATATAGTAATTTTTTATTATATATTAGAAACTATTAAAAGAAAGTCTTAATATGCACAAGATTGCGTTATATTTTGGTAGAAGCTAAAATCGTAGACTAATTAATTAAGCATGTACGTATGTATGTAACCTTACTTTTAACTCTCAAACTATTGTATGTAGTTCTTAAAACTAGTATTTGTTAATTTCAAAACAAAAACACAATATAGTACCAAATAAAATGTTAAAATTTTTTTATGGAATTAAATTTTATTTAGTTTTATTTTAATTTATTTTATTAAAAATAAAGTAGATATTTTTTTAATATATAACTAACTGCATGTGCATGTAGAGTTCATAGATTTTATTTAATTCTTTAAAACCCATGAAATTTGAAAATATTAAACAATATAAATAACATTTAAATATATTTAGTACTATATTGTATTTATTTACAATTAATTATGAATTATAACTTACACTTGTGCATACAAACCCAGGTCAGAACGCGTCAGGATGCAGCAAGCGATGCAGGGCAAGCAGAAGTATGACCTCTCCAAGTGGAAGTACTCGGAGCTGCGCGACACTATCAACACTTCTTGTGATATCGAACTGCTCGAGGTGGGTACTTGTGCTATACCACTATTGGCATTCCAACATGTACATTTTTATAACTGGCAACAATTTTGTAATTATTTGTAATTATTATTTTTTTGTAACTGGCAATACTTCCTTCTTCTATTCTTACTAAACTTTTCCTGTATGGTGGCGAACAGTAAAATAAACGTGTAAAGTTAAGTGCTTCGAGGTTTCATTAACCAGCCCATATAGACAAATAATACAGCCGCTCACCCTCCGACAACCACACTGGTGTTATCAATGTTAAGGTTTGTTTGTGAGTATGTTTGTTTCGTCATACTGTAATCTGTATCTATGTAATATGTATCTAGCGATGTGTCATGTGATGGTTAATATTATTAAAAGATAAAATTATTATAAACTTACTTCCAAACGTACAAAAAAACGATAAGGTAGGACATGAATCAAAAACTAAAACATTAAAAATATAAATTGATTTTTCTTTGTCCTAACTCTCACTAAATAATCAGATCATTATGTAGTTATATATAAGCTATTTCAAAATCATATAATATATGCTCTAATTATTTATTATGTGTAATTATTTATTATGTGTATGTATAATCACATAATTATTTATTATGTGTATATATAATTCTACGATTTAAAAGAGCAAATTTCCTATTCCCCCAATACTTGTGAATTTGCCGTAAATCGTAATGCAGCATGTAAGCTACATATATACATACGTGCTTCTTAACCATGTTTAACTACCTCAGTGGTCTAGGGGCTGTCAGTGCGGTCAACGCGTCCGGAGATCTTGGGTTCGAGTCCCCGTTTGGGCCAAGTTTAGTTATTGAGTATTTCTGTTAAGAAATCCTCAGTAACAACCCGGAGTTGAGAAGTTGGCGGTGTTTAACCCTCGTGTCTCGGAGAGCACGTAAAGCCATGGGTCCTGCGCCTTAACTCTCACCGGTCGTGTCTCGTGTCGTCCCACCGATGTATGAGAGTGACAGGAATAGAGAATGCGCTTGTGTGTGTAGCACACACGCTATTCTATAATACCTCAGATGGCTAGTCTTGCGTCGTTAATTAGGCTCTACGAGATTGGCAGCCGTGACCGTAATCTGTCGGGGGAGGATATTACATGTGTGTGTGTTGGCTGTCAGGCGTGCCGGCACGAGTTCCACCGGCGCCTGAAGGTGTACCACGCGTGGAAGGCGCGCAACGCCCGCAAGAGCACGCTCGCCGAGCAGGAGCGGGCGCCGCAGTCCATACTCGACGCTGGTTCGTATTTTATTCTATACTAGCTTTTGCCCGCGACTTCACTCGCGTGGTAACTGGAGTAGAAATGAAACATAATCTATGTTCGTCCCCAAGATGCAATTTATGTCCTTGTCAATTTTTATCGAAATATGTTCCACGGTTTAAGCATGAAAGTGAAACACAGAGTTACTTTAACATTTATTGTTACTAGGTATATACTATATAGATATAATGAATACAATTTTTCCTTTGTCACGCCATCACGTAAAAACTACGTTAAAGTGTCTAAATAGTGTAATATAAAGCATGAAACCGTCCAGCCAAGAGCCCGCGGCTGCCGCAGAAGGGCGACGTGCTGGGCGCGCGCCACCGCTACTTCCGCATCCCGTTCGTGCGGCCCGGCGCCGACGCCGAGCGCCGCGGCTGGTGGTACGCTCACTTCGACGGCCAGTACGTGGCGCGCCAGATGGAGCTGCACCCCGACAAGACGCCCGTGCTGCTGCAGGCCGGTGCGTACGCTCTCCACTACTCTCTCTCTCTCTCGTTCTCTATCTCTATCAATATCTCTTTCTTTTTCTCCTTTTCCTTTTATTAACTATGCTATATCTCCTTCTCTATCTCTTACTCCTCCTTGTCCATGTTTCAGATTTTTGTTTTATTATATTATATACTTAATTTACAAGTCTCTCTTTTTTAGCTTCCGTCATTCCGTTCGTCAGTTCGTGACTACAAAGAGTTTTTAAATTAAATTGATGATTCAAAATAATACTATTCTAACGGATTACACTATAATTTAATTTAATATACCCCAGGCGTGGACGACATGCAGATGTGCGAGCTGAGCCTGGAGGAGACGGGGCTGACGCGCAAGCGCGGCGCCGAGATCCTCGAGCACGAGTTCGAGCGCGAGTGGGCGCGCCACGCCGGCCCACCCTACCGCGCGCGCTGATGCCATGTTTGTGATCAGTGATACCGTCTCATCTCACTCTAAACATACATACTGACCTCATTATTATCCTACTTTGACATGAATTGACAAATGTCTTGATAAAAATTATACTCTGTCTTTTAATCTCAGAGACAAAACTGACATTAGCGATGGGCGTTGAATGAACGATTTGAACTAGTTGATCGACTAGTCGACGAAAGAAAATGAACGGTCTAGTTGCGTTCACGCTAAATACATCGACGACCCATCGCTAACTGACATGAAGTGGGTTACCAGTTTTTTGCAATTCTTAAATAGTGATGTGCCACTATCGAAAATTAACGTTAATAAAGTCAGTATAGTTTTTTTATAATAAGTTATCCTGAAATAATGTGTAGATATTTATTTAAAATGTAATAATACAAAATGAATAATGCAAATTTAAATTTAATAATTTCGATTTCAATGATTTAAAAGGAATAAATATGATATTTAATGATTTAGAATTAATAATATGAATTTTAATGATACACTTTGGAATATAAAACTTTGAAGCGAATCGTCTAATAAAGATAAGTCACGATTCAACAAACCGGTATCATAGGTACAACACTGCACAAAAGAGCTGTCAGCATTATTTGTAAATTTGACATTTTCATGTGTCAATTTAGTATCTGAGATTAAAAAACAGACCATATGTTAGAATAAAAGCATAATTCAAGTCCGTTTAAATATAAATTCGTTATTGACATCTCGGTAAATATCTTTAGAAGTTTAAGATTTCACACATAACTTACTAAATAATTAACTATGATATTATGCTATTACCTCTTATAATATCATATTAATTTAAAATTTCGCAAATATATGAAATCTCTATGACCATAAAACGATTTAATTGCATTTAATTAATCTGATGATGTATCTATTTGTATCTATTGTGGAACTACAACTGTGGACTACTGCTGTAAAACTTTCGAGCTTAGATCTATTTAACGAGTCCCATTCATTAAAGATAGTCAATTGTGTATCTTTTTAGTTTAAAAAAAAAACTATTGGTCTACATGCTTTTCAATCATTTATAAAGCTTAAGACTATTGATGATAATAAAATTTAAATATAATATCTGAGAAGTACGATAAATTTTCCCGTGAACTTGCAAGCTTGAACTAAATTTAATCGTCCACGGGTCAGTTATGGAAAAACAACAACATCCCGTAGACCTGGACATCAGGCGAATAATCGTGTCCTAAAATTTAATCTGAAAATGTTAAGTAATTGTTGTTGAAACTAATAACTAGTTAATCTAATGTTTTATTTTTATAAAAATTTTTTCAGGCAACATTCCAGCACGAACCGACAACTACATTCTAGAAAGAAAATGAGTTTTATAATAGTATAGTAAAGATGAAATATGAAATAATTTAGTGCTTTCAAATGTGCCTTCACATGTTTAGGTGTAATAGTGCAATATGTATTCAAAGGATTCCACCGTAGATTTGATATTTTTTATTAATTACACAATGTACGAGTAGATATAATTACAAATAGCATTCATATGGGAAGTGGAGTTACATTTTTTTTAATAATATTTTATGTAAAAATTTCCATACTGCATAGTAGTCAAATTTGAATTTTATTATTAATAACAAAGCTTTCTTTTAGTCTTTTATGTTTCTTTTTAATGAGAAAATTTCTATTAGATTCAATGTTTCAATAAAAAAGTTTTGTACAAGTTTTGCCATATTAAAAATATATCAAACACTTTCCACTTTTCGTAGAAATTATATAAATTAATAAAATATTATGTAGAACACTCATTAGGATGTACGAGTACCTAAATATGCAAAAATATCCTAAAATTATATTTATATTCAAAGTTTTAACTACTTAGTATTGTACAATGTGTGACACATGGAATTTTTAACTGTGATTATTTTTGAAATTGTAATATAGATGAATTATAATTGAAGTATTTATTGAAGCATTCCGTATGCTACCAAAAGACTGGGAAATGGTTTTGGTGTTATTTTTTTTCATGTATTTACAGTTTTTTTTTCATATTGCGTGAATAGTTCATAAACAGTATTTAAAACATTCCTGGATAATTGATTATTTATATTATACATAAAGATTTAAGAGTAAATATGAGATATATTTTATAGTACAATTTATAAGTACAGAGTTATCGTGAGTGCCTTTTTCATGCCGTATAGTATATGACTTTTGTGTTATGCTTTACCAAATAAAAATAAGATTATAAAATATTCGCCGTTTTATTATTGTTCCTTTCTTCATATTATGATTTTTTTAACTTGAATCTACACTTCTACACTAATGTTAATTTAAAGAGGTAGAGTTTGTAAGTTTGGTTGTAGGGAGACATCATTCATTTATAGGAAACTATATTACCGCAAGTGCTATAGACTATCTTTTATTCCGGTAAAAACATGTTTACTATCAGTCAGAAATCATACAAAGTTTATTAAAGTTTACAAAAACTGACTGCTTTATTGGCGTGAGCTGCCGTGCTGGTGTACAGTTTGAAACTCCCTAGAGTAAAAATGTTCCTTGGTTTGAAACTAAGCTCTATAATGTATTGCAAAAAGACACCTAGTGACGCACCTATTTTGGAAATGCATTTACGCATATAACCTGTGTTATGTGGAACCGACTAGAAAGCCAATACTACCCACTAAATATTATCATAGTGATTAATAAGCCATCTAGGTACTTCTGTCTTCTAGTAATGTGTATGAAATCAAAATCTGACAAATCTATGTTGTCAAATAAAACGACATTTCACATTTGACAGTGTCATTGTCAACAGTGAACACTGAAGTCTGACAGTGACAGAGTGAACAGTGAACTGAACACTGAACAGTGAACAGTTGTCACTTGTTAGTTGTCACTTGTTGGTCAAGTAACGTTATTTTTAGACCAAACTAGAAAAAAAACTTTCTAAAAATTATTTAATTACATTGATAACTAAATCAGTGCTAAACTTAAGTTAATAAAAGAGTGTCATTAATATTTTTAGCTTTCTTGTATTTACATATTTAGTATTAGCATGGAATTTAATGGATGCTTTCTTTTGTTGATAATATTTGTTGTCACTAAAGTCAACTCGTTGCCTTATGATGGTAAGGTTTATCTAAATTATTTTAATTATATTTTAATGAGATCACATATTCATTAAAATTGCTTTACTAGTTAGTAGTTAGATAATTAATTGTTTTTATTCAGTTCATTGGTTAAGCGGTCCTGCTACTATTGAACGTGATATTCAGCCCCTCAAACAAACGGTGGATGTGTATTGTTATACTGGGACACCAAAAAATCTGTTCACATTATGGCAAACAGTTAAAGTAAGTTAAGCATTAACAAAACCATTTAAATAAGTGTATGTTAAAATTATATGATCAGGAAAGCAATTTATGTGATGTGATAGATTTGTTGACTCTTATATATTTTCAATTTATTTCTAGTTTCATATTAAAATAAAAAATGATGAGTTTAGCCAATATTTCGGTGATAATCCAGAACAAGTCTATAAAGATTACAAAGACGATAGCTATGGCTGGGCTGTGGTTAATCCATTTCAGAAAAAATCATACAAAACAGTGTCTCTGGATCTATTCACACCAACTTGTATGGCTATTAACACTAAGCAAAAACATAGTATTGAGCTACACATTCAGAGTAAGTATTAAATTGGAGATATTTTGTTAAGTGGCTTGTGTGGATAATTTTTGTATAATGTTTGATTTACAGGCAAATATTCTTATAAACATTACAAAATTCTGATAATTCTTGTTCTTTATTTATTTAATAAATATACTGAAAAAAACTGTATAAAATATGTATAAATCCATATAAGTCCATGATCCATTCATGAACTCGAACTAAATAAACTTACAAAAATACAATCCTAAATAAAATTAAATTTGATATTTTATGAACCATAAAATTGTTACACAATAATTTGTAATGTAATCTACATATTATAAAACATAACACTTTTATTTATTTAAAATGGCCCTTGTAGGAGTGGATATCTGGCGAGTTTTTATGATGGTAATAGGAATAACTCTAATATATGCATCTCGCAGCCTAAGTGCCAATCCAGTGTTCTTTTATATCTGTGGTATTGTGATTGGAGTATCTGCTTCTTTTATGGTACTTGTGTATTATATAAGCAAATTCCTACCAAGGGTAAGTATTTATGAATATCTTGAATTTTAAATGTTTGTCAAAGTTTTCTTTTTAAATAAACTAAGTGATTATATAATAATTCTATATTAAAAAAAACACATTAAAAGCAAGTCTTTATTTATATTTATAAAAAGACAATTTTATCATTTTATTAATGACTGCTAATATTTAATGGCTCTCATTAAGTCGAGCTATTTACTTTCATTGATAATTAAGTATTTTCTCTGAATGCAGTCATATTCTTATATTTGCGTGTTTTGTATATTTTATCAGAACATTTGTTTTCAGAAAACTCTAACTTATGGCATACTAATAGGTGGTTGGACAGTTGGTGTATATCTATTCCAACAAATATGGGAAAATATGAGAAGTATAGTAACAAGCTATCAATCGTATATATTCTGGTACACTTTATTAGTGGGCTTTATCAGTTTCTTAGTATGTTATAGAATAGGGCCCCCGAAAAATGAAAGGAGCAAAAATATTGTTATGTGGACTTTACAAGTGAGTTTTAATTAAGTTAATCGAAAAGAAAGAAAAAAAATGAGGGACTTTTTCCAAGTCTAGTTTTTGTAATTTAATGGAATAGAAATAATTGGTTACATTTTGTATATAATATAATTATTTTAATAAGTAGTACTTCATGTTGTATCTACATAAATTATATATTCCGAGAACTGGTGACAAATTTTGGGGAGGTCTTTTTGGCAAGTTGAAATTGTGAAAAAATATAATTTCGTCAATTGGTGAATCCAGTCCCGCGAGTCTGGGATAGCGTTTACGGTTATTTCGTTACTGCACAGTATAAAACATTTGCAAAAAAAATCCAATGCTTCCTATGTCCTAAATGTTCCTAATCCTATGCTTGTAATAAATATAAACGTCATTTCAACATTCTTTTCAGGGTATAGGTGTTTTTGTCATATTCTTCAGTAGTCAGTACCATGAAGCCTCGGCAGCTGTGACCATAATTACTCTTGGTACTAAATATTTTCCAAAATCTCTTCTCTACGCTATACAGGGTTATTGGTAAGTATTTAATTGTTTTTAAACTCTTAAAAGGACAATACAATTTCGTAATACTATAGTATTTTGTAGATTTGACCTATCTATATTAATTTATTATCAAACAAAACTGATGCACATTACACATATACTTTTAGTAAACATAGTTCTGCAAATAATTCATATAGTCTTATATATTATGATTAATAAAAATATCATTTTTTTATTTAAAAAAAATACTAATGTACGTTTTAATAGTTAGTATAAGTTTCTCAGAGATGATAATATATTTTCACGCTGTAAAAAGTATCCTATATGTTGACCCGGATAACCAGCTATCATCATACCAAATTTCATCAAAATCTATCCAGTGGTTTTATTGTGAAGCTTTCTCAGACAGAAAAAAATCTATAAACTATAGATTCGACCTCTGTATCGATAATAATGACTATTTCAATAAGATTTTCAGTCATTTATAATATGATTGTATGTATAGATTAGACTGAACTTAGATAATTAAAAAGTATGTACCAGTGAAAACATAAATTTTTGAACCATCTTAAAAAATGTGTAATTAGTAATTACTCCATTTTTTTGTATGTATGTAAAGCGATATCTACTCCATACCATAATTGTAAATCGATTTTCTTTATCATTAATCATATAAATTTCGGAAAAAAATCCGGAGGAAGAATTATTTTGTGATTTTAAATAAGATTAAATAAATAATAATAATAATAATTTCAAATTCATATTTAGCAAAAACGCGCCAAATGTAACGCTTGTATTGTGCGTTACACGCGCGTTGTGGGTCTACTAAAATTAGCTGCGTGGTTTGTGATGAGCTGTAAAGTTTATTTAGTAAAATATTTTGTAAAATATGTCTTGGGAACTGATGTAAAGTGCATAAAATGTATTCTTTATTTAAATTTTATATTATTACTTAGTTTTGCTGCTAAGATATTCAAAAAGAAATAGGATAAGTATACTTTAGCACTGGTACAGGGAAAATATTAGAAAACAATTTAATAGTCCTTACTACACGAGTATTTTGTATACGCCTTTCGAATTCTAAAACCGTATAGGGTATAAAAATTTATAGTTTTTTTTAAAATTTAGGTATAATTTATGAATAAATTGTATATCTTTACATAAACTCATTTTAACCGGTTAGTTTTGGTCATGGAACCTAAATTCGTCAAAAACCGTTCTCCCGGATTTAACCGGTTAAAGAACGTAACCGAAACCTTAAACCGAAAAATCTTTCGGTTTGGGGTCAATGACCAAAACCGGTTTAAAAATTGAACTGGTTTCCGAGCTCTGGTTGAGGATAAACAGCTAGTAGCGTTATAATACTGTAACCCTACATGTGTCCAGGCTCCGCAAGTTCCCACCAAAGCCGCGGCTGCTAAGCAACGAGGAGTACTACGAGCAGGGCGCGCGCGAGACGCGGCGCGCGCTGGACGCGCTGCGCCAGCACTGCTCCTCCCCCGACTGCAAGCAGTGGAGCATTATGCTCAAGCTGCACGACGCTAAGAGGTGAGGAGGGTTGTTACAGTTTTTTTTTAATTAAGCATATGATTGTGATGTGACTCCATTGGTAGTTTAGTGCTTATATTGTGTTCAAACAACTTTACAATAAGAGTTTTATTTCCTCTATTTAAAAAATAAAGCTTTTTAAGTTTTATATACACACTAGCGGACCCGACAGACGTTGTCCTGTCTACACGTCTTCAATTTGAAAATTTCAAACTTTTTATAATATTTTTTTGATGAAAATTATTATTCAAATTGTGAATCTAAACCATTCCCAGATCCCCTTGAACACACACAAAAAATTTCATCAAAATCGGTCCAGTCGTTTGAGAGAAGTTCAGTGACATACACAGAAGAATTATATATATAAAGATATAGATAAAATACATTTTTTTCAGCTTTATTAAAGTCAATTAAATTGACATTTAAAAGTTTAATGATCCTGTATTAAAACTCTTTCGGTAAATTGGTCGTTTGGACAAATAGACGAACGACAAAATAGTAACTCACAAATTATAAATGCGAAACTTTTTATACATGTTTGTTTTTCCTTCATGCTAAAACAGCTCTTTTTCACGATACGTTTGACTCAGTTTGTAGTGCTACCCTACCCTGTAGTGTACCCTACTTGCTGTGCCAGCGGTCGCGGGTTCGAGTCCCGCTAATATGATATATATTAGCGGAACTCGAACCAAAATGTGTAGTGTATCAACTATCTAGTATCCATAACACAAGCCTCGTAGCTTACCATGGGATTAGAGGGTGTTTTGTGTTAATTTCCCAACATATTTATATTTACGGACGTATACACGCTTACGTTAGAAATGAATAAATACTCCATAGCTTTCCTTTAATTTTAATGAGTATAAAATCACATAAAATGGAAAGTTGTAGTAAATGTATTGTTAGAGAAATGGTGGAATGCGCATTAACATTTTAGAGTTCAATCAATAAATGTATATAATATATTATTTAGAATGAAAAGAAAATAAGCTATGTATTTTTACAAATTATAATTCTTCATGCTGCATATAATAGATAAAAATAGGAATACTTCCAGGTTCGCAAGCTTCGTGGAAGGCAACTCACATCTCAGCGACGATGAAGTTTTGGATTACGAATCGTATGCTTTCTCTATGGAGAGGGCGAAACCCGTCGCGAACTCAACAAGAAATCTGGAAATTTCCGACGATGACTCCTCAGAATATAACGATGATGATTGAAAGTATACGATTGAATTAAAAAATATATGAATTTGCTAAAAGATATACAAAAGCAAGGGGTCCATCCATAGGTTGGGCGGAAATCTCAAGCATAAAAAGCTGCTTTAGATTTGTACCGCGTACGTGACATTTAAGCAATAGAATAAAAAATAAACTAACCCTCGATTACTGACAGTTCGTGTTTGAAAACCTATAAAACTACATATAAATTGAGAAAATATTTTGTAATATCTCATATTTCAAATGTCACGGGAAAATGGATACCTCAATATAAAGTAACAAAGATATGACCAAAGTAAGAGAGATATATTAGCGAGTGTTTTTGTTTTAGTTTTCATTTCGTTTATCTATACATATAATAAAATTGTACCTGATCGCTGTCTGTACATGGAAGATATTTGAGAAAGACTACTGTTGGGATTTATTAACGTAGTAGAACCCAAAACAATGATTGCGAATTTTTGTGTTTGTCTGTGCGCGCTAATCTCAGAAAAACCTTAACCGATTTGGGTGCGGTTTTCACTAATATATTTTGGTTAGTTTTAATTAACATTTAGTTTTATTTCAATCGGTTTATAAATAAACAAGTTGTGTTAATTTAAAGAATTAGTTTGAAAATAACATCTCATTTTTTTCTATTTAAATCAATTTTCTGTTGGTTTAATTAAGGTCATGATTTGGAAATATATTTTTGTTTCTATTTTCGCTTTATATATTGTATAATCTAATGGAAGTATGATCTCAATTTTATATTCTTTATACCTGTCTAGTGAGGTGCCTTAATTACACCATTAACTTAGCGGCTAATTAATGACTTCTATAATTTGTTCCTTTTATTTATTCGTTTCACATTTTTATTGTAATTTTTATCATTTAAATGTTTAAAATAGTACTAATTTCTTATACAACTGCATAATTCATAGTACTTAGTATCTCACTTAGTGGAGATACGTACATTTAAGCAAAGACAATATTGTGCAACATTGCTCAATATCACAAAAAGGTTGTGTTTAAATATTTATAAAAAACAAATTATAAGAACGATATTAATAAAAGGTGAAATTTAATATTATTTTAAGGCCTTTATTTATCTCGATTATTATTTTTGGTGTTTCAGTGAATGTGAATTTCAGGAAAACTACAATTTGTTAGTAACAATTTTATTTCCTATAAGTATAAGAATAAACTTACACATTAACAAAATAAATCCTATTTTGCAAGTCAGCACCACTATTTTTTTTTAAATAAATACATGTGTGAACTTAATTCTTTTATTTAATTATATAACATAGTAAAAAAATATTTTTAAAGTTACTGTTAAAAGCATGTTTTTTTTAATACAAGTTTATGGCACTTATTTAAGGGCCTATATTAAGAAAGCAGAAGGCAAAGATAATTCCTATCCATAATAAATTATAACTAAAATTTTAATACTTTAATATTAATTTACGAAATTTTGTACTTTAAGAGATTATATAAAACACACTCTTTACAAAAATTAGATTCATACAACATCAATAAAATAACATTCATTTTAGTAAGATGATAGTAATGTTAAGGCCCCATTAGTTTAGCATTAGAAATTACTAGAAACTTATTATTATTTAAGAGCGAGCTCGGCTTGCTTTCTTGCTTTTATCAAGATTTTGTGGCGGCGGTGGCGGTTTTGCGGACATGTGACGGCTATACAACCTGAAATAAATAATATTTAAATAATCAATTATTTCCCTCATCATTATTTGTTTTTTTTTTGTTTGGATGTAATAGAGCGACAATAAATAAATTAAATAAAAAAATAAAAGAATTTAAGGTTTTCACATGGAAATATATGTAGGATGTTGAAAAAGGAGTAATTAATGCCTGCAATTTCAGTTTTTGTTATTTTTTTGTCAATTAAAAGTTGGGCAAAAAGAAATTAATAAATTATAACATACACTCTGTAGGTTTCAGAGCGCAAGTAATCAAGCACATGAGATGGCCCCAATTTGAGCTGATCCTCAATTGGTGGCACCCAGAAGTTCCCTTCAAGCCGTAGCACTGATTTGTTGCTGGCAAGATCTAATGACCCTGTGGAAAATAATGTTTGATTAAAATAAAAAATTACTACTATAGCATATCTGAATACCACTACTTAGAATTAGCCAAAAAAGATAACCAATCATATTATAGATTCCCATAGTGGAATTGTATGTGCAATAAATTGTTCAAGGTCCACATGTTTGTTCTGGTCCACAACTGTTTTTTCTGAGGCAGTGGTAGCCCAGTGGTAATGCGCTTGCTTGGGAAACTGGGACGTTAAAAAGAGCTGTATCAAAGAAAAATGACAATATCAAAAGTTACTTTACTGGTACAAACATTTGTGATAAATATGATATTACTGCGATGGTTTAGTTTACACAAATCATCTCATAATATGTTTATTGCCTCACCAATTTCTGGTGGCAAAACAACAAGACGATTTCCTTGCAAGTGGAGCTCTCTTAGCCTTGACAACTGGCCCAGTTCTCTGGGTACTTCAATCAGGTCATTTTCTCTCATTGATAACTGAAATGAACCAATATTTTTTTAAATACTACACCCATAATAAATGCTATAGTTTTAATTTTACAGTGTTATAGAAATAAACTTATTTTATCAATTTAAAGTGCAATATATTTATAAATGCCTAAATAAACTCTTTTATCCTATTTTATTAGGAAGGATTATATAATCAAGAGGGAAAACATTGTTGTTATTTGCTTGAAATAACTGTCAGTGATATTATTAGTTACAAAGCAGGAAAATAAAGTGAATGACATGATACTTACAATTTGTAAATTTTTCAAGTTTCCAATCTCAGGAGGTAGATATTCAAAATCATTATCACCCAAATACAAGGCTCTGAGACTTTCTGTAAATGATACCAACAATTTTGAAAGTAATACCTATAATTTCATTGAATTAAAAGTTTATTTTTAAATTTGGATTATAAATCATGAACAATAATACAAGTTCTTATTAACTGTAATAAATATATTTCCCTAACCCATCATATAGAAGTTTCCTGGCAATGTTTGTTCCTTTAAGTTATTATATGTCAAGTCCAGAATTTCCAACACAGGGAAGGCGCCAAAACCTCTGGGCAAAGTATACAGCCTGTTGAGTGAAACATTGAGTATGCGAAGTTTCGGCAAGGATGACAAACTGACTGGCAGCTCTTCAATGTGATTATTAGCAAGATTCAGAATTTCCAAATTAATGAGATTTGCTAAACCAGCAGGAACACTTTGCAATTTGTTATGGCTTAATGTCAAACGTGTTATGTTTTCGAGACTGACTGAAATGTAAACAAAAATAGAATAGAATTATGTAAAATATAATTTCAATTGCACATTGTCATACTTTAATGAAGTCATGGTTTTATATTAGGTCATCTTCAAAAATGGAATATAGAAGTTATAATGAAAATTACATTAAATAATTATGAATTATAATATTATTTTCATGTTGTATTACACTATTCTCGTGTGAAAACATATGTAAATAATATGTTTATAGTATATAAACAAAAAAGTTTACCCCAGATGCAGTTGCAAAACTAGTATGTACTCAATGATCTTGTTATGAACTAAAAAGGATAAACAAGTTCTATACATGGTACTTACATAGGCCTGGCAATTCTTCAAGGCTGGAAATTCCTTTGTCGACTAAGTCAATTTCAGGATTATTAATTTCTTTTGCTTCTTCAATAACTTTTTTAGCTTTCGACATTTTGGCAGTGTTTGGAATACAGGAAACTGGCGGAGGATGACTCATTTTTCGCAGGCGCGTCTGCGTTAATAGGAAATTGTTAGAAATTTAACCAATAAGAAGAGATTGTAACCTCTTTACTTTGATTTGGTTGGTTAAAATAAAACTAAAAAGAAACTTAGGAATCGAAATGTCAGTTTAAATACAGATAAAATAAATTTTGTAACATTCCTGATATTTTTATTAATTGAAAATACTTGTTATTTGTATAAGCTTTTTGAATAAAAGTATAAAATTATTATATGAGCATAGTTTAAAAGCCTGATGAAAAAATATAAGCCTACTTAAGTATTTTATCTAGGTTCAGTTACCTGTTACTTTATAGCGTAGCATCTCTATATACTATATAGTTTGTGTTTATAACTTATACTTTATAGTCTCTATTCTTATCCTTATAGTAATTATTGTACGATATGAAAGAAATCTCTAATAGAAAATAAATAAAGGTAAAATACATGCTTTTAAACGCATATTTTATTATTCTTTGGGATCTGACTGGACAGTACCTATTGTTTTTGGGCAGATTGTCAGCTGTCAATTTTCCAAGACAGTAGTTTATTTATTAATCATTTTGTGTTCAGAATAGCCGCATTACTAATATCCTTAAAATAAAAAAAAAACTGATATACATTCCTATAAAACTACTTTAGGAAGTCGATTGTGCTAATAGAAATATTAACATAACTCTATAATCAATTAATTACTCATCTAAAATGGTGGCACTAGATGCAGATATGAACAGGGATGACGACTGTGACAATATTGGTCTAGGATGTGCTTTGGAACACTTTTCTGAGGTTGAAGAGGTGCTATCTATGATCGACAATGTGAGAAATATCTATAACACTCCAAGTTTTGAAGTTGAATATGATAAATTGTATACTATTCTTAAACAATATTATGAGCAGCCTCACCTACTTGATCCACATTTGGACAAAATGTTAGCCAAGTTTATGAACATAATCAAGGATAAAGAGGCAGCATTTGAAATAAAACATGCAGCTTTTAACTATATGTATCAAATAATAAGGGTCAGGGGCTATAAAGTGGTTGTTAGGCACCTGCCACATGAGGTATTATTTGTTCCTATTTTTAAAACAATATTTTTTAAAATTAAAATATATTAATAAATATATAATATCCATATTTAAAGCTTTGTAATTGTAGGTTACAGATCTCTTAACAGTTCTTACTTATCTGGAAGCTCAAGATCCACTAGATAAAGAAACATGGAGAAGTAGATTTGTTTTGTTGCTTTGGCTTTCGATAGTTGTCATCATTCCATTTCATATGAGCCGACTAGATGGATTTGCTCCAGATCAGCCAGGTATATGATATAGATCTTAATTTTATTCATATTAACTTAATGAAACAATAAATTATCTTCATTTAAATAAAATTGTTTACATGTTATTAATTATTATTATTAATTATTTCAGGGACAGCTGGTACTTCAAAAAAATTAACTGTAATGGAGAGAATATTTAATATTTGTAAGACTTATGCTATGAGCAAAGACAGCTGTGGAGAAGCTAGTGCTTATTTGGCATCAAAATTTTTAATAAGGTATACTTTGTTTTACTTAAAGTAACTGATGAGTGTTATCTTATAAAAGAAAACAGTAAGACCATTTAATTTTTTTAGAATATTTATGTATACAAGAAATTACATTTAAGAACAATTTTAGGTCTGATGTAAAAGAACTATACATGAAATCATTTTTTGATTGGGCCTGTGACTTACATTCCAATTTGCAAGAAGAAGATACTATTTACTATGGAGTCTTGGCTGCGGTAGCTGCAGTCTTAAAGCATGGGAAAAGAGATGACTTATTGCCCTTTACACCGAAACTATTAGAATGGGTGACAAAACAAAATTATAAGCAACATAATGCCATGTTAGTCAGGAAATATGGTGTTAAGATTGTACAAAGAATTGGTAAGCAATTTTATGTTTATGTATTAAACACTAGTGACTCATCTTCACTTTGCTTCGGGTTCGTCCCTAGACAAAAACAAATTGTCCCATGGGAACCATACATTTTCCGGGATAAGTAACCAATGTGCTATTTCAAACTATAATCTATCTCTGTGCGAAATTAATCCAGATCCATTTAGCCGTTCTGGCGTGAAAGAGTAACAAATATCCACCCATCAGTCTATCCATCCTCACACACTTTCACATATTATATAATATTAGTATGGATACATAATTCAAAATTAAATATGAATGAAGATTACTTGTGTTAATATTATAAACCATAAAATAATGTTTTTATGCAATAATAGAAAAAAGATATAGATATTTCTTATTTATTCTAGTATTTTTTTTTATTTTAATTTGCAAAAGGCACCATGCTTCTTATAAAATATCTTGTATCTGACAGTTCGCTAGATTAGCCAACGAGTAGCTGAAAAGTCGTTATTTTAAAAATAGTATTAGTTTATATGGGAAAACCTCTGAAGTTAAATAACCTATATGTTAAAAAATAAACATGAAAATCAGTTCACATGTAATAGAAGTACTCCAAACTCCAAATTTAACACTTATGTACTTCTATTTGAAGTTGCTCAAAATATGAAAGTATACTTAATAGCTCCCTTTATATGCAGGTTTAACATTCCTCCGCCCCCGCGTAGTCTCATGGCGCTACACACGCGGCTCCCGCTCCCTAGCAGTAACTCTAGGGGCTGCAACAGCCGCAGCTGGGGACACTGAGACCATCACCACACCCCCGGATGATGATGACCAGGATATACCTCAGGAGGTTGGTGTTAATCAATGTATAAGTTAATACATAATTAAGGGAAATGACAGTTGCATACTGGACTGCTACAACGGTTTTGCCCTTATCTATCTGCTTTTTCTGTTATATAGTCACTCATAAAATATTGTTTCATTTGGTTCTATGCCAACACGTTTACAATGTATAAATTTTAAAAATTCAAGTCGAATGTCTTTAAAATTGGGTGTTGATAAATCAGGAGAAATATCTTTATATTTTATTGTAATTAGATGGTTAGGTAAAAGTTGTAAATACAGCCTATGTTACTTTACTTCTTGTCTTTGCTTTTGGTCTAATAGCCTCATTTGTCTAATGGCTGACATACGCAGAAGACATGGGTTTTCTTATAAGAAAATCTCAGTATCAGCATTGATTTGCAGTATTCGTTTGTATTCATACCGGCGACCACGGCTAAAATCCGACCAGGAGAATTTTTCGAAGTATGTGGTCTTCTCTTCTTCTTAGAAGAAGACCACAATCCATATTTCCATAGACTTATTAGAAGAAAAAGTCTGTGCTATAAATTAAGAAAGAAATCGATCGTTGAAGTCTAACATAGTATAACTTTCAAACTTCACAAACAGGTAGAAGACGTAGTGGAACTCCTTCTCTGCTCGCTGCGCGACGACGACACAGTGGTGCGGTGGTCCGCCGCGAAGGGCGTGGGCCGCATCGGCGCGCGGCTGCCGGCGCTGGCCGCGGCCGACGTGTGCGAGAGCGTGCTCACGCTGTTCGCGGACAACGAGCGGGAGACGGCCTGGCATGGCGGCTGCATGGCGCTGGCAGAGTTGGGTGAGTTGGACTGTTGGGGTGCCTTTGATTTGTGAAAGTGTAATGGTATGATTAGGTGGAGAGATAATGCTATGCTGGCACTATGTGGTTTGCCATTTAACAAGTCCGATATGTAAAAAATCAATATAATTCAACTTTTATAAACCTAAACATTTTTTTTAATAACTATTATAATTAAATGTAGCAATATTATTTATTTAATTTTAGCTGTTATTATTATAAATATTACAATTAAAAAAAACTTTATTAATTAATAATATTATTTAGTGTTGCTATTATTATTAATAAATTTAATTATAATATTTATGAAAAAAAATGTTTATAATTAAAATCAACACATATTGTGAAGTACTTTGGTGCCATTGGTGAATTTTTGAAATCATTTTATAAACTTACTAGCGACTCACCTTCATTTCACTCGAGTTTGTGCCTAGCTTGATTCCCAATACAAACTTTCATCGCCACCGTCACCCCCTTAAGGGATGATTTACGGGATAAAAAGTATCCTATGTCCTTCCCAGGGTCTCAAACTATCTTCTTACCAAATTTCATCTAAATCGGTTCAGTAGATCCAAGATCTCAAAAAGTCACAAAGTTTACGCGTTTATAATATAAGTATAGATAAAGTGCGTGAAGTGTATGTGTAATGTGTATTGTGTAAGCAGGTCGCCGCGGGCTGATCTCGCCGACGCAGCTGGGCGCGGCGGTGCGCGCGGCGGCGGCGGCGCTGCGGCGCGACGAGGCGCGCGCGGCGGGCGGCGGCGCGCGGGCGGCGCGCGACGCGGCCTGCCACGCCGCCTGGGCCATCGCTCGCGCCTACGACGCGCCCGCGCTGCGCCCGCACGCTGACCTGCTCGCGTGCGCGCTTATCGCGACCGCATGCTTCGACAGAGAGGTATAGCTGTGTATATGCTGCCGCTTGCCATTAGTATTCGTATATTTTTTGTATTTGACAGCATTTTCCTTTATAATTAAAGGTCGATTATCTACTGTGTACGTTTTTATAGTAAATATATTTTTTGTAATCGTATTTGATGAGATTTCCGTGAAGATATAATCTTAGCTGTACACAATATACTGTATGGATTATACTACAGTATTACTTTGTTTTTGATTTTGTTCTATTTTTATAAATGTTAATATTTAAGATTGTATGAAATTTAAAGACATACTTCATTTTATTATTTTGAACAATATATTTATTTTTTTACATTATAAAGATCATTTAATACATTATATTTATCTATTTAGATAAAAATATGTAATTAAAATATCTTATACCTTGTATTCAAACAGTATATTGTGTATTGTGTGTATGTATATTTGATACAACATTCATTTGAAATAAAATTTAAAATCTATAAAAGAATCAATATTAAGTTCAAAACGAGTTTTTTTTATTTTCACTCACTAGCATATAATTAATGAATGCGTCCCCAGATCAACTGCCGCCGCGCGGCGTCGGCGGCGTACCAGGAGAACGTGGGGCGGCACGGGCTGTTCCCGCACGGCATCGAGGCGCTGACGGCCGCCGACTTCCACGCGGTGGGCCCGCGCGCGCACGCCTACCTGCGCGTGGCGCCGCGCGTGGCCGCGCTGCCGCCCTACGCGCGCCCGCTGCTCGACCACCTCGCCGACCTCAAGCTGGAGCACTGGGACGTGGCCGTGCGCGAGCTGGCCGCCAGGGCGCTCGGGAACCTCACCGACAAGGTGGCCACGGCTGTTTCACTACGTAGTCGCTTCCCGCTCTCTGTCTGTTCCTATGTATGCTTACATCTTTAAAACTACGCAACGGATTGCGGATGCGGTTTTCTTTTAAAAGACAGTGATTCAAGAGGAAGGTTTATATGTATAATACATGCATATTATAGTGCAGAAAAGCTGAGAAATTCTAAGATTTGTAGTTCATACTAACTTTTAAAACATACCTAATAAAATACAACATTTTTTTTATCATATATTTAACGAATTCATCGACAACTAAATTCAAAACACCACCAATTGGTATAGACTTGTACAAATTTATATACTTTTTGTTTTTAAATTGAAATAAATATATTTAAATTTGAGTATATAAAATAAACTTTCTGATATTTCATTACTGATGTTCATATTTGTAAATGATTTAGTTTCTAATGAACTTTGCCTTCAATGTTCTTTAACAATTAATACACCATGGTTTGCCCATATCATCTGTTTTTCATTAATAATATATATTCACTGGTTATATTTCCATATCACCCACTCCTACTATTTTGTAATAATGAAGAAAAAAAAACATAATATGTAAAATATTCTTCAAATTATCCTGCAATACAAAGTTATAGGAAAAAACCACATTTTATTAGTATATATTTTAATATTTATTTTTAATAATAATAAAACTGGCCTCGATCATATGATTTAAAAAAAAATGTCCCTTTCATGTTTATGTCAATCACTATATATTATCTTCAGTAGGCTAGGACAGCATTAGTACTTATGTATATAGTTTTATTATTTTATGTATTTTTTAACTTTTTTCTTGTAAATTCGAAGCATAATGACTAATGTTAGTGAATCATTAATTTAATATATACGTTTCTATTTCTAGTGATAACATTTTTTTTTTCAATTACTAGGTAATTTAATTTTATTTACTTAAATTTTTATATGACATCATTTTAAGTAATTCATTTCATTTTCATCATGTTTTGAATGGATTTATCGAAATTTCGTTTGATAGTTCAATGCTGGTGCCATAGAATTCGTAGTAACCTAAATAATATCGTATTTCGATATATTTTTTTACTTACATTACACAGCACCATCTAGTTCCATGGTAAGCTATGAGGCTTGTGTTATGTATACTAAATACACTACTCATATATAACTTTAAATACATATATATATATATATATATATATATATATATATATATATATATATATATATATATATATATATATATATATATAAACATCCATGACTGGAGTACAAACATTCTTGCTCATCACACAAATGAATGCCCCCAGCGGGACTCGAACCCGCGACCGCTGGCACAGCAGGTAGGCTGTAGGGTCACTAGGGTCACTGAGCCAAACGTGTCATCATAGTCGTCTGTTTGTCTGTCGTCAATTTGATTATTTACTTTATATTTTATAATGATGTTATAGATGCCAGAGTATGTCGCGACTGAATTGCTTCCAAAACTGATAAAGAAGACGGAATCTATAGATCTGAACGTAAGACACGGCGCCATTCTCGGCATTGGGGAGGCCATATACGCGCTCTCTCAGACTGAGTTGCCTGATGGTAAGATTTTTACTATTATTATTTCTATGCTAATATGGACACCTGTACTAACAACATAACTTAATATTTGATAATTTTAAAATGAAACTCGATTGTTGTTGTAGTCTTCTTTCAATTTACATAAATATAAGTGACGTGTGAATTTATTGTTTCTTGCCAACTGCCTCGGTGGTGTAGTGCCTAGCATGTACGGCTGCACACTCGGAGGTCCTGGGTTCGAGTCCCGGGTCGGGCCAAGTTTAGTTATTGAGTCTTTCTGTATAGTAAGCCTCGGTAACAGCCCGGAGTTGGGAAGTTGGCGGTGTTTCACCCCCGTGCCTCGGAGAGCACGTGTCGCATCGGTCCTGCGCCGACACTCTCACTGGTCGTGTCTCGTGTCGTCCCACCGGAGTATGAGAGTGTCAGGGATAGAGAGTGCACGTTGTGTCTGCGCGTACAATTACGCACTATACTTCTCTTGCGCAGTTGGCTAGTCTCAGTGAGATTGGCCGCCGTGGCCGGAATCGATCAGGAAAAGAATCATCATCAATTGTTTCTTGAAGGTATCATGAATAATAATTTTACAACTGTCCGTTTAAAGTGGCAAAATAGAAATATGGTAAAATAGAAACTGGTGTAATTTAGAAAATTATTTACAAGGAAGTTTTTAATCATGATGGGTGATAAGCGTTTGATTATAAAACAAAATATCGGTCTTGTGACGTCTATGAGTATTAAGTTTTATATATTTTTTGTCGATGCACACTTGAAACTCGCGAAAAATCTATTCATGAATATACAGGTTGATAGTAGATAGACAGTAGATGACAGGCGGAATTAATTCAAATTAGTCCAGTCATTAGTGTAGTTTAGCAGTATTATATTAATATCTAGTTACATGATATATGATGTATTTTAAGAAATATATATAGTATGTATTGATTCGAAATAAACTACACAAATGAAAATTTCTTTTTTATAGCTATTTTGTTAATAAATTGTACATTAAAAAAAAGACGTGTGGCACTCTGAGACTGCCGCGGTAAAGCTATTGCATAGGATTTTTTATCAACTTATGCAATTATAATTATTTATTTTATTAATGCAGTATCTTTTTCCTTTGTTTTTTTTCTTTGATATTAATTATTCTTTGATAGTAATAGAAATGGCATTTCAATAATTACTTTCAACTGCCAAAGTCTAAATAGTCACAAATACGATTTACAAGATTCAGTTACGAGGCAAGCAAATGTGTTACTTCTTACCGAAACAGATGTCAAATGTCAGATCGTCAGAAACGTCAGATGTCAGATGTCAAATCTGAGTGGGGGGTGTTAGGTTTTTTTCGTTACGGAATTTCTGGATTCGGTCCCCACGCTCAAGGCCCGCGATAGAAGCTATGCAATAGCTTAAAATATATATAACCTTTATCGAATTTTGAACAGTAATGTCGAAGTAACCAATGTGTATATGTGCCAGGGCGCAAGGGGGACTCGCTGGTGGGCGCGGCGGAGTGGGCGCGCGTGCGCGGGCTGGCGGCGGCGCTGCGCGCGCGCCAGTTGCTGCGCGGGCTGGGCGGCGAGCTCATGCGCCAGGCCGCCTGCGCCGCCGCCGCGCGCCTCGCGCGCGCCGCCGCGCCGCTGCCGCCCGCCGCTGTCGGTGAGTCGCGCATACTTACATACATCACACGGCTGCGATTTAGGATTGGGGACTCTGCCCCTAGCGGAGTGGGTGGTATTTCTGGATAAGGGACGTGATAGGAAGTCGAAATGTTAAATAAAAATTGTCCGCGAACATATGAGTAAAAATTTATTGAGACTTAAAGTTACAACATTTCCATACATTATTTTGACATTACTACCATTTAGACACTTGGAGTCAAAACGTCACTTTCAATTGTCAAAATAATCTCCAGATGATTGTCTTTATTTGTACTTTGCGTGAAATTCGAATTTTCTAGTTTTCTAGTCATTTATGGCACTCGCCGGCCGCTACCGCGGCACGCTCGCTTCGCTCGCTCGGCTCGTGCGTTGTGGCAACTGTTCTAACCTAACCTAACCAAGATATGAGGAATAATAAATAAATAATCTTAAATGTTTTAACCTAACCTAACCCAGATATGAGGAATAATAAATAAATAATCTTAAATGATCTAACCTAACCTAACCCAGATATGAGGAATAATAAATAAATAATCTTAAATGTTCTAACCTAACCTAACCCAGATATGAGGAATAATAAATAAATAATCTTAAATGTTCTAACCTAACCTAACCAAGATATGACGAATAATAAATAAATAACCTATGTCTTAAACTAACCACGATGTCGCAAAATAAAAACCAAAGTAAATAATACATTTAGATTTTAAAAATAGTCTACTCACGTTTATAAATTGTTTACACTAACACTATGAACACTTAAAACTATAAAAATAATATTAAAACAAAAACAAGAAACGAAAGTATATAAAAATATAACTAATGGAAAATACACAGAGTACAGAGTCACAAATTATGAAACTTCGCGGTATTTTAAGAACACCCGCCAATAATACTGAAAAATATTCACAGATAAAAAAATGTTTTTTTTTTACTAAATGTACAATTGTAAAACAATATATTTTACATAAATCAGATAAAAAATCATAAATGTATTTATGAAATGAAAATAATATTTTTCTTTTTATTTATTTATTTATTAATATTAATATTTTACCAACAGAAAAAGCAAAAATAATCAAATATAATCTGTTGTCATTTAAGCGGTAATATAAAACAAAGTGTCAGTTTTGCTTTTGTCAAAATGTAAGATCGTTTTGTTTGTGTTGTGAAATTATTAAAATATTAAATACAATAAAGCATTAATTGTTGTGAAAATGTGTAATGTACATAAAAAAGGATGCGTACTATTCGTTAAAGGTATGTTTATCTGTTGTAATCACTTATTTAGGTAAAGAAATGTATGGAAATGTGTTAGATATGTTATAACTTGTAAGTCTCAATAACTTTTTACTCGTACGTTTCCTCCAAATATTTTTAATATATTTTGACTCTCTGTCACCTCCCCTATCTAAAAATACCACCCACTCCGAATGGTGGTAAAGAAATATATGAAAATGTATGGAAATGTTGTAACTTTAAGTCTCAATAACTTTTTACTCATACGTTCGCGGACAATTTTTATTTAACATTTCGACTCCCTATCACGTCCCTTATCCAGAAATACCACCCACTCCGCTAGGGGCAAAGTCCCCAATCCTGAATTTGTGCCCATCACACGACACACATTATAATCAAACGTTAAAAAAATATTTTTTCGTTGTCATAAATATATATTATAAAGATACTAGCGGACCCGACAGACGTTGTCCTGTCTACACGTCTTTAATTTGAAAATTTCAAACTTTTTTTAATAATTTTTTTGATGAAAATTATTATTCAAATTGTGAATCTAAACCATTCCCAGATCCCCTTGAACACACACAAAAAATTTCATCAAAATCGGTCCAGTCGTTTGAGAGAAGTTCAGTGACATACACACTCACAGAAGAATTATATATATAAAGATGTATTATTATATAAAGGCAGAGTTTGTTTGTTTGAACGCACTTATCTCAGGAACAGGATTTGAAAGTTCTTTTTGCATTAGATAGCCCGTTTATCGAGAAAGGCTATAGGCTATATATCACATAATATTATATAGTCTATCTATTCCATACTAGCTGTTAAAACTTACCTAGGGACGAACCCGAGTGAAGCAAGGGTGAGTCGCTCGTTTTAAATAACCTTATTTTTTCAGTTTTCATCTTTAATTTCAAATTTACCAATACATATGTGCATTTCCTATTTCCAGACGAGTGGCTCAGTCTTGTAGAGGAATGCCTCTCACACGAAGTGCAAGCAATACGAGAAAAGGCAATCGAAGCTTTACCGCATATATTCGAGCAATATTTCAAAGACGACAATCTTCAGTACGGCGATATGAGTGCCAAGCAGAAGAGAATGCAGTTAGTGGAGAAGTATTGCGAGCAGCTAGGAAATACTGGCGTCAATGGCTTGTTTTTGAGAATGGGTTATGCGAGAGCTATTGGTATGATAATCCTGTTTATTTTTAAGTATACAGTATTCGATATACTCGTACAATGACGTGTTGTATAATTTAATCACATAGTAAAGTAATAAAAATCCGAGCGAAGGACATTTAGTGGAAAAAAAATTTCCTATCCCTACCCGGCCATGGCCCGTAAATTCATAAATTAGATCTTAAAAATTGTATCGTATCATAAACGTCAAGCAACACACAAAGTTTATATATATTAATTATTACAAACACTCCTCAACACTTATGATCGCCTGGTACTTTTGTCACGAGTACCAGGGGACCACAAACCTCAAGGAGTGCTCATTACATAAATATGTATAACTCCGAACTAGTTACATACACTCCATAACACTTATGCTCGCCTGGTACTTAGGCTGACGACACACGGGGTGATCTTAGTAGATAATAAAATGTTGTGGCGGTCTGAATATTCCATTCGTTTCTACCGTCTAGATCACATTCGCTGAGTACAACGTTCGGTAATGAACGTTCCAATAAATCTTAACATTTGAAATATTTTTCTAATTTTATAAAGGATTTGTAAATTTACAGTTTTTTAATTTTTGATAATACAATAAGAGTATTTTAAAGAATGAAATAATTAATTTTAAAATGATATTTTGAAGTTTGTTTAATTATATTAAACATTGTACTTTGTGTTAAATTCAAAATGGAAATTATTTACACTTGAAAGATCATTACAATATGACAGGAGTTCTACTAAAATTAGTGGTAGAGGAGCACATTTAATAAAATTTTAAAATTATTACCAGCATAATATAGCTGGGCGACCGGGCTTTGCTCGGAGTTCTTTTTTTTATATCTATATAACTTGAATGAATACAAAAAAAGAACAAAAAAAAAAGTAAAAGCTTTGTATCCAACCGAGGATCGTACCCGGACACCTGTGATTGTCAATCTTGTGCCTTGGTCGCTTGGCGATGTTTACACCCGAGCGTGCGAAATTAGCGACCATATATTGCGTGGAATATTGCGAGAGAAAACCGCATGAAAACTTGTAAACACGCGTTTTCCTAGACATAAGACTAATCTAGATCAATTCACCCTCGAAAAACCTTCCATACCCAGCGAAATCGTTAACGCTGTTTCCGAGATCAGTAAATAAATATGCAATAGTTGCTTGTTTAAATATATTAGATTAAAGTAGCTAGAGTTGATATGAAGTCGTAACCCGCCAGGCGCTTTACCACAATTCGTGGTGGAGGAGCAGATGGAGCTGATAGTGGGCGCCCTGATCGAGTGTAGCCGCGTGACGGAGGGCACGGCCAAGTGGGCGGAGGCGCGGCGGGACGCAGCGGCGGCGCTGGCGGCGGCGACGGCGGCGGCGCCGGCGCGCGCGCGGCCCGAGCTGCTGGCGCGCGCGCGCGCCGCGCTGCTGGCCGGCCTGCACGAGTACACCGTGGACATGCGCGGCGACATCGGCGCCTGGGTGCGCGAGGCCTGCATGACGGGTGAGAGCTGTTATAATTATTTAGTACTAAGCGACTCGCCGGGGTTCGTCCTTAGGTAGATCACACGCTTGGGAAACCGAGTGATGCGGGTTCAAATCTCGGGTCTCTCGCACCTCTGATATTTTCATATGCGAATAATTTTTAACATGATTACCATTTACCTTACGGTGAAGGAAAATATCGTAAGGAAACCTGCATGTCTAAAAGAACCTAGCAAGTTTTCGAAAGACATGTTAAGTCCATCAACCCGTACTTAGCCTGCGTGGTGAACTATGGCCTGATCGGCCCCTCGTATTGAAGGGAGGCCCGTGCCCAGTAGTGGGATGTAAAACAGGGCTGAATACATAACACTTGTGTCGTGGCGTGCGGTGCGCAGGGCTGCTGGCGCTGTGCCGGCAGTGCGCGGCGCAGGCGCCGGAGCTGAACGCCGCGGCGGCGGTGGCGGCGGTGGCGCGCGGCGTGGCGCAGCAGGCCGTGGAGAAGATCGACCGCACGCGCGCGCACGCTGGCCGCGTCTTCACCGCGCTCCTCTACAAGTATGTCACGGTTTGGATCAAAATTATTTTTATTAATAACTAGCGACTCACCCTCGCTTTTATTACATAAATTTGAACTCGTTTAAATAATATTTGTTGAAAAAGTTGTTCATGCACAATTTAAAAAAATCAAATATTTATTATTATGTTTATTATTCGTCACAGTGACCCCCCGATAGACAACATCCCGGACCATGAAGCGCTGAAGCGCATCTTCCCGCCCGCCTCGTGCGAGCCGGACGCGGGGGACGCCCCGGGCGAGGCCGCCGCCCCGGGCGCGGTCCCGGGCGCCAGCGAGAGCTCCGGGGTGGTGCTGTGGCTGTTCCCGGGACACACGATGCCGCGCTTCGTGCAGCTGCTGCGCTTCCCGGCGTACCGCTACCACGTGATCAAGGGGCTGGTGGTCAGCGCGGGAGAGCTCACCGAGAGCTTGGTGAGGGTTTAGGTGTTTTAATACAATTTTTTATTTTAATTGACAGATTAAATATAATCTGTTTTTCAAAAACAACATTAATTTTAAATATTTTACTTATATTTTATTACACAATTTTGGCAGTGTATTCCCAATTTCCTTAGGGAATGAAATTAACTATTTATTACTTTAATTTTAGTGAAGTCAGGAGGTTAGTGGTTTTTAGGAAAAATTTCAATTTAGAAAAATTGGTCAAAAGCGTTTGGATTTTAAAACTGTAATTGTCACAACAATTATAGTTTAATAAGTTATTTTTGTATTAAAAATAAAAATTATTTTACTAAGGTATATTAGGAGATTGTATAGCAATTCTAGAAGGAACCTAATTGAATGTCCATTTATTTTAAATAAAGCCAAACATTTAATATATTATTTAACTTTAAAAAATAAATTTTAGTAAGATTGGCCACGAAAGACTTATCTGATGTCTCCCTGAGCAGGTAAAGCACACGACGCAGTCCCTGTTCGCGTTCCTCAACTCGCTGCACGCGGAGCCGGCCGTGCTGCGCAGCGTGTGCGCCGACGTCACGCAGGTGGGGAAATGAACGAATAATTATTGATAAACAAAGCTTTTTTAAATACATTGACCCGTTGTCGGACAACCTTTTAAGTAAAACCTGTGCCAGGATGTCCCGCTCTTCCGTAGAAAATGAAAGAAAAAAAAACTTAATAATCTTATAATAAAAAAAAATAGTGTGTGTGATTGTATGTGCGCGCACTCGCGCGCGCGTGTATGTTTATATATGTGTGTAAAATGATTTTAATTCTTAAGTATTTAACGAATATAATTTTATCAAACTATTCACCTTCCTGTATACGTACATAAGCTGCTGATTGCTTAGTATACTAATGATTAGCAAATTTAGTTTTTTCAATATCTGTATCTGCTCTAATGTTTACTCTTCTTTTCATCTTTGTGTTTATATCTATAGTTATTATTTTAAGCCTATTTAGTATTAGTTGTAGTATATTTTTCTCACACTAATAAGTTGTTCATGAAGTAATAAGTCCTTTTGTAGGTGTTCGCCGACAACCTGCACGTAAAACGCATCACGGGGCCCATGTTCAACTTCCTCGACCGCCTCTTGAGCTCGGGTACGTTGCTTCTGCTATGTGCAAGGCCAATCTCACTGAGATCTATTCACTAAAATATATTTCCATTATCATTTATAAAAACAATATTGCATTTCAATATTGAAACCACTCCCTTCCCAATCAGTGTACTTTTAGTTTACAACATTGAACATATACTCAACACAACATGAAACAAGTTAATAATAATTATTATTAATATCCTGCAGGATCCATATCACCAATATTAGAAGATCCCGAGTCGACGTTCGCGAAGGATATATTGAAATACTTACAGTTGGAACTCAGAGGAGGCAAAAATATATATAAGCTACTGGATTCCATCAATGTTTTGTGTCAACTCATTCAGGTTCGTATTTTTATTTTTCTTATTATTTTTTTTGGTATTTTTAGTCATCGTATATGGCATATTTATATGGGATAAGGAAATTCGTTCCAAAACATACATATTAGTTTGCCAAATTATACTTGGTAAACTTGGCGAATGAGAGCTAGAAAAAAGGCAATAATTTCGACCGTCGCGATACTTTTTGTTTACTAAGAGTACTCTATGTGACGTCATCACATGTACCAGGCGATAACCTACCTTATTACCTTATTTATGGGCCAAGGTCAGAGAGAGAGAAAAAACTTCCCACCGGGTGTCCCATGACACCCGTGTCAGTCAGTACAGTAGTCGAGTTATACGTGACAGCGACTTGTCTCTGTTAAATGATGGCATCCTCGTATTCTGTCAGATAATACTTTGCAATACGACCTACAGGTAGGCGGAGGTGATATTAACGGAACCGAAGTTGCAGGTTTTGAATTGGAAATATCAGAATTGAAGATTTCAGTATCTATCAAAGTCAAAATCAATCTAATCAATTTAATCGGTTCAAAAAATATAATTAGCGATAATGTTAAAATGAGCGTGATTCCCATAAATGTAGCTTCTACTTAGATAGCGTTCACTGTCTCGAGATTCAGTATATTTAATTGTACATTATCGGAAGCGTTGGAATCAATCGCGAGTTGTTACACAGCTTCGATATCTATTCCTAAAGTCCCACAACAGACAGCAAAGTGGCATATGTAACACGACGCGTGGTCGCAGGTGCCGGGCGTGTGCGGCGCCGCGCTCGGGCAGCTCGCCATCTACCTGTGCTACAGCGACCGCTACGTGCGCCGCTGCGCCGCCGCGCGCCTCTACGAGGCGCTCGCGCTCTACGGCGACGCCTGCGTGCCGCCCGACGACCTCGACCAGGTGCACACACACACACACACACATAACACACACACACAACACACACACACATAACACACACACACACACATACATGCACACAACACACACGCGCATACAACACACACACACACGCACACAAAATACACACACGCACACACAGGCACAGACAACACATGCGTGAAAAAAAATCAACTTAAACAATGAAATCTAGCAGCCCCCATATTTAATTCTTTTTTTATGTCACCTATCTAAGAACACTTGGACTAATGAGACGAATCTAATGATACCTTAATTAAAGAAATCCATCGAGTGGTTTGGAAGATATGAGAGGGAATAAAGAATATGACAAACATACAAAGGCACGAAAAACATAAGCCTTTACTTGCAGTCGCGTAAGAGAAAAGTATTAAACACAGACAACTTTCGCAATTATAATACTAATCAAATACATATATAATGTATGTACACAGGTAATGAACACGCTGGCGGAGACGGACTGGGAGCGCGCCGTGCCGGAGCTGCGGCCGGTGCGCGACCGCCTGTGCGACCTCATGGCCATCAAGCGCCCCGTGCTCCGGCAGAAGCCCACAAACTAGCCTCACTACACGCCGTGCTCTGTCCACTCGTGTCTACTCGCTTTGTTACACACTACTAATCCATACAGCCGTCTAATAATGGCGTCTAGACAGAAAATGGAGAGACGCAATAGGGCGCTCCCGACTAACATACTTACTTTTACATGAAATTCGGAAAACGGTTTTAGGGTTAACGCGCTACAGCATTTTAACTTGAAATTTGGAAACCGTTCGTAATTAAAATTTTTGTTTTCATGACCCTTGCATTTTTATGTTATTTGTTCTGTAGGTTATAAGGGTGCCTTTTAGGCACAATTTATTTCGCCAATATCGTGTAATATGGAGAAGACAGTAGAGATTGAGAATTGATCGAACATTTGATAGCTTTTCGATTAAAATTAATGGACGATCGCCTTCTGTATGGATTTGTACCGAGCTTCGTTCTGTTGCTTAGTGCTTTTTACTCACATATATTTATTTATTGTATTGTTAATAAACGCGCACTAATGTTTATTTTTTATATTTTTTATTTTAATATAATTAATGAATTATGTTCATGCAAGTACATACGGATTGTAATGGCGTAATAAAACAACTTATTCTTATAATGAATGTTTTATTTACATTTATTTATCGTTTTATATAGTATATATTATTATATACAAAAACAACAACATTCAAAAAGCTTCAATGTTGCCCACATCAATGCGCAGAGTATCCCAGCCCACTACCCGGACCTATTAAGCACGTTTGACGTCAAAGATCTACATGCGATCCTGGTCTCGGAAAGTTTCCTTAAACCCTGCCTTCCTTCTACTTCGTATGCTTTGCCGGGATTTCATCTGATTAGGAACGATAGAACAGACAAGGGTGGTGGAGGAGTTGCTATTTATCTCCGATCACACATTCCTTTTAATATTTTAAGCAAATCCCCCTCCCAATACACTGAGTCAGCTGAATATATTATAATTGAGGTTCTTTTCGGTTGTTTGAAACTTTTGTTGGGAGTTTTCTATAGTCCCTCAATGCGCATCGACTACTTTGATGAATTTGAGGATTTAATGGAGAGACTTATTCCAGATGCTGATCACTCTATAATCATGGGGGATTTTAATACCTGTTTGATTAAGGATGACTCACGAGCAAAGCGCTTGAACAGCATTATCAAGGGCGCTAATCTTAATATAGTCAACTCTAACAGTGCGAATATACTACATAACTAGCGACTCACCTTCGCTCCGCTCGGGCTTAGGGTGGATCACCCTAACACTTAGGGTTATGAAAAATTAGTTTACATCCTATTCCCAGACCTACTGAATATACACACAATATTTCACAAGAATCGGTCACTCCGTTTCGGAGGAGTTTTGTTACAAACACTGTGACACGAGAATTTTTTATATATATATATATATATATATATATATATATATATATATATATATATATATTATTTAGATCCGAAGATATTTTAGATATTTAAAAGTATTTAACTGTATACGTAATACGTATACGTATACACAAAAGTAAGCATATACGTATACTTCATAAAATATTTGATTAGAAAAAAAATGTTACAGTAACTTTATTTTTAAGTACATATAATATAGGACATTTTCCACCACCTCATCGTAATTATTTGCATTAGTACAAATTGTAAGTCTTTGTACGGTTCCTATAAAAATACTTAAAAAAATAAATTTATATCTAGTTACACATTGTATAATTTATTAAAGTAAATTTAAATTAGCACTTGCAACGCGTTGGGGTCCTGTGGCGCTACTGCAATAAGATCTGCCCAAAACGTTCCATAATTCTTCAAGACTGTGCCTCTGTGAACAATATTAAGTTAGATAAATAATAATAATAAATATGTTAAAACATCAACACAAAGCACCATCTAGTTCCATGGTAAGCTACGAGGCATGTGTTATGGATATCAGATACACTACACATATATAACTTTAAACACATTCATATTATAAACTAGCAGAAACCCTGGCTTCGCTCGCGCTAAAACTACAAGTAAAATCTCTAAAAATGTAGGTTTCGTACAAACTCTCATCCTCTATTTTACCCTCTTAGGGGTTGAATGTAGGAAAACGTAATATACGTAATTCATGATTTGTGTCCTACTCAATTCATACGAAATTTCATGCAAATATGTCCAAGGAATAAAAAGTTTCATAAAAACTTTTATCCCCTATTTCACCCCTTGGGGGTTGAATTTTGAAAAATACTTCCTGAGTGGATGCCTTCGTCATATGAGGAATATGTGTGCGAAAATTCAATTTTCTAGCCTTAAGGGCTTGGCCTGTGCGTTGTTACATCAGTTAATCACCTTTGCTTTTTATATATATAGATATAAACACCTGGAGTACAAACATTCGTGCTCATCACACAAATAAATGCTCCCAGCGAGATTCAAACCCGCAACCGCTGTCACAGCAAGTAGTGTACTACAAACTAAACCAAACGTGTCGTTAATATGTAATTAATATTTTGATATCTACTTATATACATTCGTCTAAATTTATATTAGCTACTTAGTCTCGCTTTGTTCGGTTGCGTCAGTAGGTATGTGCCTTTTGTATTTATATTATACTAGCGACTTACCCTCGCTTCACTCGGGTTCGTATCTAGGTGCGTGTTTATTTTGAGTGGAACTCTAATTATCTTTCTAAAATAAAAGTAGGTAGCTAAATTACTCCTTATAACATCATCTATTTGCCAATGAAAGTCCCATCAAAATCGGTCCAGCCATTTCGAATATTAGCCCGAACAAACAGACAGACAGAGAGACGGGCAAAAATTTTAAAAATTGTTTTTCTTATAAGTACCGTATATAATTCCATATGCATTTAGTAAAACGCTGTTATTTTGACATTACAAACAGACACTTCGATTTTATTTATCTGCATAGATGTATAGAAATAGATACAGTTAGCGTCACCTTGTGGCAAATTTTATTACTAGCTGGCGTATACGTTTCATTCAAATTGGTTCAGCCGATTAAAAGCGAAGTAATAACAAACATACATACGCACATACAATTTTCGCATTTATAAAAGTATTTTGTTTTCCAATTAGCTCTCATTATACCAATTAATCATTTTGCAAGACGTTTAGTTTATTTAAATAAAAACATTATAATGCAAAATATCTTATGGGAACCTGCATGTCTGAGAGAACTTAGCAAGTTTTGGAAAGACATGAAGACCGTTAACCCGCACTTGGCCAGCGTGGTGGACTATGGCCTGATCCCCCTCGTATTAAAAGGAGGCCCACCCCCAGCAGTGGGATTTTAAAAAGGCCTGAATACAATACATACAATACAATTATTTCGCAATAAGATTTTGACAAAACGCCTCTTAATTATCAACATCAATTCATCAACATGTACACTTCGTTACACTTTTCGAATTCGTCCTCAGTTTAATCACGTAATTAAGTTTATTTATGTGTTTACATATACTCTATGTCTACATATTTAAGTATACACTCATATGTTTTAAATGTACATAGATTGTAATTTATATTGCAAGGGCATTAAGAAATCTGACATATAAACTGTACTTGTATGTCAATTTATTCGACGATAACTAACGTCCTACGGTCGACGGCATTACTATGACATGATTTCCGTTCGAGGAGTGTATCTGTATCATATATGTAATGTTAGTTTTATCTAAAGGTCTCTGAATCTACTCTCGTTTTAGATATTACACAAGTATAATATGGGTCGAAGTGAAAGGTGCTTATGGGGCGGATGATTGATAATATTTTTCTATTTGGTCCTAAGATAACGTTAATAGTATATATTGTATCTATGAAAAGTAAGGGAGAAGAAAGGTATAAAGTATTTGATTGCCATGATTATCATTATCGTAGTTATTTTTGTTATCTATTTTTTTAAAGTCAATTTTGTATAGGACTTCGAGTTAGATTTAAAAAAATATTTTTGTATTGTATTATCCATTTGTCGTAGAAAGTTGACATCATATTAGAGCAGATTTATTATATAAAGTACCATTTACCTGCGGCTCCGCCCGCGTTCAGATGACCAAAAACCAAATTCTTAGGTTTTACATATTAGTATACTCTTACATTGCTGTTTTTGTATTTTTTCTCAGAAATGAGATATTTTCCCGCGGTAAAAAGTGTTCTATATGTTGACCCGGATAACCAGCTATCATCATACCAAATTTTATCAAACTCCTCCAGTGGTTTTTCTGCGATGCGGTTACAGACAGACAAAAATTCTAAAATCTATAGATTCGGACTCTTTATCAATAATAAAGTTTATTTCAATAAGAATTTCCAAAAAATATTTAATGTACAGATGTGGCTTAGGTACAATTTTATTATATGTATAGACTACACAAACTAAGCTGCGGGCAAAAGCTAGCGAAATAATAAAAACAGAAGTATCATCTCTTAATTAATAAGGTAAGGAAAGCTTTAGAATGAGCACTTACTTCTAATCTTTAATATTGTATGTGTTATTTAGCATAGATTATGTTTGTTGATAAATGCGAAAATTATTCTCATAGTAATTACATTATAATTAGACGAATTTCAAAATTAATTGAGCAAACTTACGTAAAGTACACACGGCCTTGCGAATTCTCAGGGGCCTTCCATACAAATGTTGCTCTTATTTTCTCCTTCGGGTCGGCATGAGTGATCGCCGAACATTCTGGTATAGCAGTTGTATTTGGTGTTTCCTCCCACGACCCTATCCATTGATTCTTCTCTACTGAACGAGCTTGGACGAAAAATCCTTTAAAAGGTTCCGCCCCAGTAATGGACACTGAAATTATTGAAACACGTGCTTTATTTCTAGAAAACAATATATTTAAATGCTTTTATATAACTAACGGCACACCTTCCTCCTCAGGTTCGCCTCTTAAAAACAAGTCTATCCCACTGGAACCATATATTTTTCCGGGATAAAAAGTAGCCTATGTGTTATTCTGATGTATGTGCTATATTGTTGTAGTTTCATTAAAATCCATTCAGTAGTTTTTGCGTGAAAGAGTAACAAACTTTCCATATATCTATACATCCAGACATCCATTCATTCTCACGAACTTTCGCATTTATAATATTAGTAAGAACTAGGATAAAGCACAAATTTAAATAGTAAATACATATGATTTACGCTTATTAAAAAGTGTGTGGATTTGACCGAGCGCTTAATTTTATTTTGATGAAGTAATTAAGTTATTTGAAGCAGGATGAATAATTAAAAATTTATATTTATTAGCTCTAGCTTCTAAGTAACTAAGCTATATTAACATATCCACAACTTAAAGGTAACATTAACATCAACATCATTCTTACTTGATGGTTGGCAATTTTGATTTATATCTAAATATGTACCAATATTTTATTTATTTTCCTACGTAGGTATATATGTAGGAAAATAAACGTACCTAGCCAATATAAAGGTTTAAAATGATTTGATTAAGATATCGAGTTATAGAGCAGGTAAAAATTTTGTCGCTTAAGCCAAGCGTTTTATGATAAATTTTAAAAATATATATATTTAATAGCAATATAAGTTTAAATATATTCATAGTAGGTACTATATAATTACATTTTGCCGGCGTGTATCTCTGACAAGCCGGTCAAGAGAGCGGCTTCCATAAATGCATGACCTACAACGCCATCGTCGTGCTTGCGTAACTAATATATTATTTTTATCACAGCTCAAAATGCATTATTAAAATAACATGGAATACAGTAATTATATTTATAATATTAATTCGCTGGTATTTTATTTATAAAATACTAAAAAAAATGACGAAATGTGTAATATGTATATACATTAGATATATTTCATTACTCAACTGCGGCGGAGCCAAAATTTATGTCTTTGATCTGTACGTATGTATAAACCATAACTGCCTCGGTGGTGTAGTGGCTAGCATGTACGGCTGCACACCCGGAGGCCCTGGGTTCGAGTCCCGGGTCGGGCCAAGTTTAGTTATTGAGTCTTTCTATATGGTAACCCTCAATAACAGCCCGGAGTTGGGAAGTTGGCGGTGTTTCACCCCCGTGCCTCGGAGAGCACGTAAAGCCGTCGGTCCTGCGCCTTAACTCTCACTGGTCGTGTCGAGTGGTCGTCCGGAGTATGAGAGTGACAGAGAGTGCACTTGTGTCTGCGCGTACACTTGTGCACTATAATATCTCCTGCGCAATTGGCTATTCTCAATGAGATTGGCCGCCGTGGCCGGAATCGACCAGGAGGACATCATGTATAAATCTATGTTCCCTCATAATTACTAAACGACAACCAATTTTGATAATTCATACAGCGATAGATTGACCTTGATAACGCGAGTGTCATAGGGTATATGGATATTTTTTTCTCTTCCAAACCGATTGATCGTATGGCATTCAAATGAAGGGTTTTAGAGTCGATCACACATATACGTAGGTACCTACATCATATGCGGTGGGGACATACATACATGTAGCATAGTACTATGTTCTTTCGTCAACTTGTTATTTTTTTCGTAGTTGTTTTTTTTTATTTATTCTTTTATTTTTCATTTCTATCAATAACGGTTTAGAATGATGCGATGCGATGTAAGAAATGAAAATAGCTTTCGTTAAGACTCGTCTGCATTGATTTTTTTGTTATTCTATACACAGGCTACGAAGAAATACTATATTATAAAGTACTAGCGGCTCACTCTCACTTCGCTCGGGTTCGCCTCTGGCAAAACAAAAAAAATTTATCCCACGGGGACCGTACATTTTTTCAGAATGAAAAATAGTCTACGTGCTATTCCAGACTATAATCTATCTCTGTGCCAAATCTCATTCAGATCTGTTTAGCCGTTCTAGCGTGATTGAGAAACGAACACCCACCATCTTCACAAAATTTCGCATTTATAACATTAGTAAGAAGCTACATCCGTATACGGGATATCTGTCCGTTTATCTGTGTTACCCTATGTCACATACTTTTTAATTTTTACAGACAAAATGTAGAAAATTAGATTCACTCGTTTTATATAATTTGCTACAAAAATAAAAATGTGTGACAACATAACAAGTCGTACTTAAGTACGTACATTTCTAAGGCGGAGAAGAAGAAAGACATGATTTGTTGGTGTTATTCCATAGTTGAGTCCATCATTTTTTTTAATTTCCACTTGGTGCAAATAATATAAACATCACATGTAACTGCTATAATATGATTGTTAAATTGAATTACGATAAGCGTTAAATTAATACCTCTCATATAGACGTGTTACAAAATCTTGACTCGCCAAAACTTGCTCGCGTTGTGCACAACGAACGTGTGAACGCATCTAACAATATCATTTACATTTTACAACCTTCTATTGTATGCAAAGTGCAAACTTGCAAAGTGTTTAGTTAATTATTATCCTTAAATAGACGAAAATACTTTTAAAATCTTAATAGGTGCTAAAAATCAAAAAATACAGATAACCCACTAATATTACAAATGCGAAAGTTTATGAGGATGTACAGATATCTGGATATATAGATGTATGAATGTTTGTTACTCTTTTACGCAAAAACTACTCAATAAATTTTAATGAAACTTTACAATAATATAGCTCATACATCAAAATTAAACATAGGCTACTTTTTGTCCCGGAAAAATGAACGGTTCCCGTGGGATAGATTTGTTTTTCTTTTTCTAGACGCGGACCCGAGCGAAGCAAGGGTAAGCCACGAGTACTATATATATCTAATACTTATTTCCAATCTTAGAAAATTAATGAAATTATTTAATATTAGCATTGCCCGCGGCTCCGCCGCGTTCAGATGACCAAAAAGCAAATTCTTAGGTTTTACATATTAGTATACTCTTACATTGCAGTTTTTGTATTTTTTCTCTGAAATAAGACAGTTTCCCGCGGCAAAAAGTATCCTATATGTTGACCCGGATAACCAGCTACCAACATACCAAATTTCATCAAAATCCCTCCTGTGGTTTTTCTGTGATGCGGTGACAGACAGACAGACAGAAAGACAGACAGACAAAAATTCTAAAAACTATAGATTCAGCCTCTGTATCGATAATAATGTCTATTTCAATAAGAATTTCCAAAAAATATTTAATGTACAGATTAGGCTTAGAATTTTATTATACTCGTATGTATAGATTTACCTAACGAAATAACTCATTTTGAGTATTGGAAGTTCTTCTCTTAGCATATATTCTCATATGCCGGTGGTTTCAGATATAATGCAATTATTCAAACTTTAAAAGCTCTACACACAAATTAGGTCATACAAATATTTATCGCTTTATGTTTAGCTGTCTGTCTATATATTTCGGAAACCCAAGTGATTTGGCGGATCTAATAATCAGGGTCTCTTGTAGTTGGCAATATTTTATTAATATTTTGTTAATTATCCTGAATTAGAGCTATTATAGTGTAATAAACCCGGAATAACTTTAAATAAACAATATCGTATTTTTTAACGAACTTAAAGAACAAAAAGGAAATAATCTAAATAAAATATACTTAAACCTAAATAGTAGATAAATGTAAACCAACCTGTAATCCTCGAGTTAGGTCCATAATAAGAGGATGACGCGATTATCCTGTAAGGCAGAGTGGACAACGGCTGTGTGCGATGCTGTCCGTGGTTGGGCTGATTCGCGCGATCCTTCACACACGCGTCCACAGGCGCGCCGTCGGGGAAACTATTTACCCCCCAAAACAATAATAAAACAACCAAAAATTCTAATTTCCCTAACATTTCTACATATAATAAACTTAATTTTGATTATGGTCACTCAAAGGCCCAGCATGGAGTGCGCACGCGCGTCGGATACGCTCACTTTTGTAACTTGGAAAAGGTCTAGAATTTGAACGAACTCAATTACCTCTCATATGTTACTGTTAAGTTTGCAACATATTTAGTAAAAAGCTGTTGCGAAAATGTCTAACTTGATTCAAAATGAGATAAATATGTACGCATGTTATCTTTTAGTGTCCACTAATATAAATTACCTGTCTCTACCTGAGAACTTTTTTTTTAAATTAAAAAAAAATAATAATTTTTTTTCAGATAGAATATTATTTCGTAATGATAAATATTTAAAACTTTTTCATATTAATATTAAAAAGAGGTAAAATGTGTGTGGAAGATCTGAATTTTTTTATGTAGTAGGTAGGTAGTGGTTTCTATTACTTATTAGTACTTACCTTCTGTAGTCCTATTACGGTATTGCTGTAAGAACTAAGATATGATGACTTCAAGGGGATGAACTTAGTAAAATATTTTAAATCATACTTTGTTTGGCACGTTTGGAAAAAAATATGAGAGTAAAATTTTTAAGATGCGCGCGCACTCTGACAGCCAAAAAGCGACATGATGAAGTTAGCTGCATTCCTTTTACAAACAGAGAGTTGTGACATACGGAATGGAATCTTTATTTTTGTTCTGTTACGCCAAAGAAGTATAACATCTTACGTGCATACATAAGTACACACACGCGTTTTTTTTTAAATGTATCAAATAAAAATAAACCATAACATATCATGTAGCAAGTTTATTGAATAAAAATTTTAATACAATATCTAATAATTAATAGAATAATACAATTCACTTATAAAAACTATTTATCTACAAATACAATTTTATCTCCGTCAGGTCTGTTGGGTGAGAGGAGATCGGGATTGAGTTGCACTTCTTTATTATTGTCTATGTATTGCAATATTTCATCGAGCATTGTTTCATCTGTGTATTTATTATCCTGAGCAACATTTATATCTTCCTCTATGACGTTTTCGTAATCATTATCTAATTTATCATTATCATTTCTTATTTTATCATTATTATCAGCTGTATCATTAACAGAACTATTGTAGACACTATCTGGTGTGCTTTGTATCCAATCCGGACAACCTATTGATACACTGGACGCATTTGTAAAACCGTAATACTCATCGACTTTATCCCGATTCGGTACATCGGGCCGTTCTAAACGATCATAACCTTCGTTTACTACACCTTGATCGATTGTTTCGTAGACTGGATCTAGTATTTCAGCTAATCTTTCGCTAGCTTGTATAGAAATGATCTCAGCTACATGCAACTTTGGTGTTATGGTGGTATAATGTTTATCGACATTGGTATGTAAGTTAGTGCTGTACGTAAGTCGTCTGTCTGTGTTAGGGTCTACACTCGCACGAGGGCAGGTAGAGCCTCTCATGCGAGATGTGAAGGCGTCCCCGGTTTTTCTGTACGTAGCTTTGATAAGCATGTGGACCTGTAGAAAATATTTTTATCAATAATTATCAATACTGAAATAGTAGATATGTGATTTGATAAAGCTGTAAAGTACTAGAATCCGTATTTTTCAGTAATCATAGTTCATGAATTGATATAATAAATCTATTTTCTATACAGATAAATAAAATTGAAGTGTCTGTTGGTAATGTCAAAATAACAGTTTTTTACTAAATGCATACGGAATTATATACGGGATTTATAAGAAAAACACCATATTTAAAAAAAATGTCTGTCTGTCTGTTTGTCCCGGCTAATCTCCGAAACTTTCACTGGCAGGTAGCTGATGTTATAAGGAGTAACTTGGCTACTTTTATTTCAGTTAAAGAATTAGGGTTCCGCTCAAAAAAATTAAAATATACCTAGTATATATGTATGTACCTATACTAGTGGGATAATAAAATAAAAGAAACAATGCAGCATACATAATAAGAAATTTAGCGACGGACAGACAAATTCTCATACTAATAGTAAGTATTAACAAGGCTAAGGATTTGTAAAACTAAATCGAGAAACTAGTAGAGTATGTATGAAATCATTTTAGTACCGGCGCGGCGCGGTATCAAGGCAACCAATGGCAATGTACTTTTGATAACTTAGTTGACTTATGGCATGTTTGCTTTATAACTGGCTACTTCTTGTGGCTTTGCCCGTGTTTAAACTATTATTTAAATTCCATACACAATTAACGTATAAGCATGGGCGTACCCAGCTTTTGGTCCAGGGGGGGGTGGTGGTCAAAACAGAAATTAAATAACTAACAAAATAAAACTACATATAATATAATTAACCAAAGTTTCAGCCAAATCATCTCAACAGTATTTTATATATAGCTTTATTGAAATTATATTTCTTTCGCTATTCGATGCGACAGATTTGGACTACAGTATGAAGTTAGTGATTATTGACTACAGTGTGAAGTTAGTCGTTATTGGCTACAATGTGGAGTTTTTTTTATTTTATTTGTATATACACAACACGTGTTTTATATCGATAAATATAAAAAATATTACAAGCTTTTATTTAGTTTCACCTGTCTCATTGTCTGCCTGTAATCAAATCTTACAAGTTAAATTTGACCCACTTCCAATTGTCCGATTGAGCTGAAATTTGGAACACACGTTTGACTCTCGGGACTGCACGATTTCCAAGATGCCACCATGTTTAATCCAATACGACGGACGGACGTTACAAAATGGCGATTTATTATTTTAATAGTGACCCACCCATATGATATGGATATCAAATGCAAGGGCTTTTAAATTTAATATGGCGGACTGTTTATTTTGCACCCCCAAGATAGGTCTAATAGACCAGGGTCAATAATTTTTGAAACCAAAAATAAAAACCGACTTCAAACAAAAGCACTAAAAAGTAAAAAATAACTGATTGGTAGTTTTCATTTACTATACATACCTAATCAAATATTTTCGAAGTCGGTGTGCTTTGCTTTGTATGGGCTGGCACCGATTTCGAAAATATTTGATTAGGTATGTATTTAATAGGTAGGCTTTAATTACTTAGCCAAAGCACACCGACTTCTAAAATATTTGATTAGGTATGTATAGTAAATGAAAAATACCAATCAGTTATTTTTTACTTTTTAGTGTTTTTTTTTAAGGCGGTTTTTATTTTTTGTTAAAAAGTTTTTATATTTAAATGCTCTAAAAAAACAAAGAAGTATGACTTCTTGCGTGCGTAAATAAGTATACACACATTTTTTTACAATAAATGTTTCTTGTGTTTTTTTATTAAATTAACATAACTTTTTTATTGATGAACCGACTGAAATAAGACAAATACTAAATGTTAAGTGAAGCTTACCATACAATACATTCGTGAAAACCGCATACAAATCGGTTAAGCCGTTTCTGAGCTTAGCACGCGCAAACGCACAGACAAACAGACAAAAATTCTAAAAATCATTGTTTTGGGATGATTGGGAAATATCTCCCATGTACAGACAGCGATCAGTTATAATTTATTATATGTATAGATATCGGCAATGATTATTTTTCGTCACCTACTTTTGGCCCTTTCAAAACAATAACATGTCAAATACGAGCTCACAGGCCAGTACGAAAGACGCTAGACTATATTCGATAATTATCGTAAGTCGTTGGCGCGGCAGCGAGTGGCTGACGAGCGTGGGGCTCACAGGTCGTTTGCTGCTCTAGCGTGTTGTATACTTACTCATAATATATTGTGTGTAAGTTAACTCATAATATATTGTAAAGTAATTCGTAACACTCGTAACCTCACTCGTAACCTGACTCAAACATAACTTTATCGACAACAGTAGGTACGTAGACATACACGATCCAGGGGGAGGGGGCAGCTACCCCCCCCCCCCTGCCCCTACCTGGGTACGCCCATGCGTATAAGTATTATGTACCAAAATAAAAGCCTCATTAAAATCTGCACAGCCGTCCTTGAGTGATGAGTGCTCGAAAGCAGATATGTAGATATGTATACCTATAATGCTTTGATATGGAGCAATTAATTTTTTTAAGCTTTTAATATATTTGTAACATAAGCAATATACTCGTAACATAAATTATATAAGAATGTACAACTTTGATCCGAATTCGTATTTGTGCGATGTGTTAAATATTGAAAATAGCAGGTTCGATTTTCAATTGAGGGATTGTTTTTTATTACGGACGATTCATAATGTTTCTTTAAATAATTGTTGGCCGTACGTTAAGATAATATAGACCAATGGATATCAACATTTAATACGCAGTGTTAAAAATGGAATGGGAAGCAAATAAACGTTGGGGTAAGAGCGTTAAGTCAAAAGCAATCGATTCAGTCTCATTTATATAAAGCAGAGCTATATAAATTATAATTATACTTAAAAAACACATTTTTAATTAACTATAATATATATATATTGTGTATATGTGTAATGTATTGGACTCGTTGAAACAAATGAGTCCAAACTCATCAAGGATTTTCTACAAGACCTTGAAGTATTCTACTATCTATGCATATAATATAATTCTGAGTCGAATCTGTCTGTACATTAAATATTTTTTGGATTATTGAAATAGTCATTATTATCGATACAGAGGCCGAATCTATAGTTTTTAGAATTTTTGTCTGTCTGTCTGTGACCGCATCACGAGGAGACCACTGGACAGATTTTGATAAAATTTGGTATAATGATAGCTGGTTATCCGGGTCAACATATAGGATACTTTTTACTGCGGGAAAATGTGTCATCTCTGAGGAATCTATACTAAACGTTAAAACGTAATTTAGGGACGAACTCGATCGGAGCGTGAATGAGTCGCTAGTCTAGTATGTATATTTTTTATTATAAATGTAGACGGAATTATACTTCAAGATAAATTGATTTTACAGTTACTTACAAGCGAGCCTGATAAAAGCTTGCCAAGTGAATGCTATAAAATATGTATAGAAGAAAAATCAAATGAATATAAATACCTCCTTGTTAATATAACAATAAAGCAAAGCCACCAAGACGCCCTGCAGCGCCTCCATCATGTAGGCTATGAAGTAGTAGGCCTGCTCCCAGCCGCAGTCGCTGGTGCGCGGCCGGATCGCCGTGAACATGAACTGCGTGCCGAACAGCGGCATCAGGAACAGAGTGGCTTTAGCTGTGCTCCTGGAAATGTTTCGATGCTTTTGAATTAACGAAACGAGGCATATTTTACCCTAGCTGACTACAAATTTGACAGTTTGTCACTTTGTCATCAGTATCGAGAGATATGGGATCGTATTCAGTAACTAGCGTCCGTCGCTTCGCTCGAATGCGTCCCTTTTTCGTCCGCGTTTTGCGGAACCCTAATTGTTTAAATAAGAATAGTCTCAGTTACTCCTTATAACATCAGCTATATGCCTGTGAAAATCCCGTCTAAATTAGTCCAGCCGTTTCGGAGATTAGTCGAAACAGACTGAGGAAAACATTAAAAAATGAGTTTTTCTTATAAGTAACGTATCGGCGTACATAATTTCATAAGCGTTGAGTAAAAAGCTGTTATTTTGACATTACAAACGGACATTTCAATTTTATTTATCTGTATAAATTTGGTATCGACCAACAAAAATATTTAACGGTCTATAATATAATCATTGAATGCAAATTCTAAAGGATCTTTCTAAAGGATCTATCTAATCTCTCTCTTCCTTGCCGATTGTTTAATCCAGCCCCAGTCTCTACCAAACAATCTTCCGATAGTTTAGTCAGTTATCAATAGGGGCTCGAAATAACATTTGTAGGTAATATAGATATTACAATAAAACTATCAGAATAGAAATTTAAAAAAAATATGGGAATGACAATGAATGGGAATTCTATGATTTACCAATTAAAATTGTCATTTCAATACAATTTTAAGCAACAATCTTTTCGGATTTTTTCGCGGATTTATTACGATTTTTGATTTCCAACGTTTCGAATACTTTACAGCAATCATGGTCACGGGAGAGACTAAGGCTTAAGACGTATCAAAGGTCACTCATTATATAGGTACTCCGTACTTGTCACAGAGGTGCATCCCCACAAATTTACAAATTGGTTACAAAAATTCAAAATAGCACCGAAGTACCTTACAATATTTGTTAATTTTAATTCTAAACATTTAACACGATCATATGAGTTATATTATCATCTTTACAGGCAGGAATATAAAAAAAGTCATCCATAAAACTGGATGAGAGTTTTGAAATTAAAAATATTTAGATTTACTTATATTGCCGATGAAAAATATTATCGAATTGAAATTCAAATATAGTTATTACATAAAGAAATGAATTGATTAAAATATACTTTACAAGTATGACCTTAATATCGCTTATCTATTAGCTAAAATTTTAAGTGCCAAATAATTAAGATAATAATTCAAAATAAAATAATGGAAACCTAAATTATGTATTGCATCATTGTTTGTATAGCGCTGGTTGTTATTAAAATTTAGTAAGTTTATTAAAGTTATTTTTTTTTTACTTATTTCATTTCATATAAGTAACTAGCATTGCCCGCGGCTCCGCCCGCGTTCAGATGACCAAAAACCAAATTCTTAGGTTTTACATATTAGTATACTCTTACATTGCAGTTTTTGTATTTTTTCTTAGAAATGAGATATTTTTCGGCGGCAAAAAGTATCCTATATGTTGACCCGGATAACCAGCTATGATCATACCAAATTTCATCAAAATTTGTCCAGTGATTTTTTCGTGATGCGTTTACAGACAGACAGACAAAAATACTAAAAACTATAGATTCGGAATCTGTATCGATAATAATGTCTATTTCAATTAGATTTTCAAAAAAATATTTAATGTACAGATTTGACTTAGTTACAATTTTATTATATGTATAGATGTATACAAATAACAATATGGTTATGTACCTAAAGAAAGTAAACAATCTGAATGACAAAATCGAGAATAGTAGCATAAACGGCAAATCACGCTACTATTTTTGACTTTGACATTTATTTTGGCGAGCTCTATATAATTCTTTAGCGATGAGTACCTACCTACCTACTTTACTAATCATACCCATTACCCACTCTTCATATAAAAGCACATAGGTACATAGTAACAAAAATACAAAGCTTTAGATCGTTTAAGCTAGTTCAAGTATAAATTATTTTCTACGTGATCGATATAGCAACGTGACCAATTTGACATCCTATTATAATAATTAATTAATCGATAACGGCATCGCTAATACTAAACTAAAAATATGAGAATGGCGTGCCCGGCCATGTGTATTGACGCTTAGATATTAATCCCCATAGTAAAGTCTGCTATTGTTAAAAGGAGCTTAGAATGTCAACTTGACTAAGCACTTCAATGTTAAAAACAAGCGCGAGTCGAATTCGCACACGAAAGGTTCCGTAACATCGTACATGTACTTTTTATTATTATGACTTTTATTCTATGTATGTAGTATATTAAATTAACTTCGATGATCGATTAAGAACGTTAAAAAAGGTTTCTTATATTTTTATTTTTATTATTTGTTGTTATAGCGGCAATAGGTACACAAATTCTGTGAGAATTTCAACTCTCTACCTATTACGGTTCATGAGATACACCTCTCTGACAGACGGACGGACGGATAGCGGAGGCTTATTATTAGCACAGATCATATAATACTATACTAAATAGGGTTCTGTTAGCACCCTTTGGGTACGGAACCCGAAAAATGGGAGTTCCGATGAAACTCTAATGCCCGATTTCACCAACGTCACCTAAGTTCAAGGGATCCCCTAAGCATGGTTAGGGGGCTGTTAGGGGACAGTTTCTGTTTCACCAACAGTTAGGGGTCACCTAAATATTAAAAGGCCTCCTAAATTTAGGTGCTCGAAATATGGGCTTAAAGACGATCGTAAAACGAAATTTAATTTATGGACTAGTTTAGGGGACTTTTAAGCTAGGGATCCCATACCTAGCTTATGGGTTTTGGTGAAATCGGGCATAAGAGCTGGAACCTATCCTTGTTTTATAGGAATAGACATAACTTATATTCTGGTTAAATACATAGGAAACTTAGCGGTACCCCGATCTATGTTATTCTAATTTCCATTTTGGGATAAATATACTTGTGTAAATGGACACTGATTTTATTACTGGCAATGATATAGTACTACAATTTTTTTAAAATATAAAAGATTATTTTTATAATAAATGTATTATTAAGTTAATTTTACAACGTTTATTTTTTTTTTATTATTATCGACGTGCACAAAAACTAGTCCAAAATAAAGAGAGTAAACTCACAGCTGGTTAGCATTCTCCGAGTTGCGTACTTTGGTGAGCAGCACGCGCAGCACGTCCGCCAGCAGCGCGCCGTTGACCACCAGCACCAGCAGGCGCGGCGCGTCCAGCGCCCACTGCACGTGCGGCGCCGTGTACACCTCCCAGCACGAGTGGTCGCTGACCAGCGCCATGGTGGCCGCCCACGCGACCACCGGCACTATGCCCAGCACTACAATGCGATATGTCTTTTTAATAAGTACTCTCTCAGCAGCGACATAGTAGTTGCCCACACGACCACTGGTACTATTAACTATGGCCAGCACTGCAATTGGATCGTCCTTTTAACCAAGTTAGGCCTTCCTTTGGTTACCTACTCTAACTTAAACGTTCTCAATTTTAATTGTATGATATTACCATATATCCTATATATTTAAACGAGCAATTTTTGTAAAACTCGGAAACGGCTTCAGCGATTTTAATGAAATTCAGTATACAGAGGGTTTCGGGAGCGATAAATCGATATAGATTAGTCTTATGTCTGAAAAAACGCGTGTTTTCGAGTTTTTAGCAGTTTTTTGCGGTTTGCTTTTGCATTAAAAGTATTATTAAAATTTAAAGTAATTGCAATATTAGACTAATTTATTGTTTTAGTTATAAAGTCAATATAAGAAAATGTAATTCATGACATAAGATTATGTAACGTGTTTGAATTAGGAAGTAAAGAACATTCATAATGATTGTAACATTTTGACATTTCTAGATAACCGATTTTTATCTTAACAAAAAATTCATTCCATGTCTAATATACTACTTATATCGTATATGTAAACCACTATTCCTAAATCTCTCATCGTTCTGGCCATCATTTCATCAATAATATCTCAATATACTTTATAATATTGTTATTAGTGTCTTGTAAACAAATTATCGACCTTCTTTCTAATAGGTGTTGAATTGCTGTTTTTTGATTTCCAATTATCGTTTGTACTACTTCCTAGCAACCCCTCTTTTATTCCGACTCTTATATGTACCTATATAAAACTTCACAATGCTTTATTTATTTTTTTATTTTATTAATATTATAAATGCGAAAGTTTGGATGGATATTTGCTACTTAATCACGTGAAAACGGCTGAACGGATCTGAATGTTTTGCCACAGAGATACTTTACCGTCTGGAATAGCACATTTTAGTTATTTTTTATCTCAAAAAAATGTATGGTTCCTGTGGGATAGATTTGTTTTCGTTTTTTACTAAAGATGAACTCGAGTAAAGCGAGGATGAGTCGCTACTCGCTAGTTCATACATATAATAAAATTGTAACTAAGCCGAATCTGTACATTAAATATTTTTTGGAAAATCTTATTGAAATAAACATTAGGTATTATCGATACAAACGCCGAATCTATAGTTTTTAGAATTTTTATTTGTCTGTCTGTTACTGCATCACAGAAAGACCACTGGAGGGATTTTGATGAAATTTGGTATGGTGATAGCTGGCTATCTGAGTCAACATATATGATACTTTTTACCGCGGGAAAATGTTTCATTTCTGAGAAAAAATACAAAAACTGCAATCTAAGAGCATACTAATTTATAAAACCTAAGAATTTGGTTTTTGGTCATCTGAACGCCGGCGGGTAGTGCTAGTAACGTATAAAACCCTCACCAGCACCAATCCCGTACAGCCATTTGACACTGAAGGTGTGCCGGAAGACGGCGACGATGCGGCGGTGCAGGTACACGCCCTCCACCAGCATGCACACGAACACGGCGTTGGCGGCGCCGCGCTCCGCCAGCGCCAGCGCGCGGCACGCCGCGCTGTGCCGCGACATGGCCGTGTCGCGCGTGTTGCTCAGCTCGTCTATGTGGATCTGTTTGTGTACAAAAACTCTTAAATTAATACGTTTGGCTCAGTTTGTAGTGACCCTACTTTCTGTGCCAGCGGTCGCGGTTCGAGACCCGCTGCGGGTCTTCATTTGTGTGATGAGCACGAATGTTTATACGCCAGTCATGGGTTATTTATAATATGTACGTATTTAAAGTTAGTAACATACGTGTAGTGTATAAACTATCTGGTATCCATAACACAAGCCTCTAGCTTACCATGGAAATGGTGCAGTGTGTTAATGTCCCAACATACATATAAACATATATTAGGCATGCTTTCACCGACTGCTTACTGGTGCTTGCCGATGATAGCTCAAGGACTGACTGCACTGATGCTCTTTAAATTAAATTGATTCAAAAGTTCCATTAATAAGTCTAATTGAATAAAGTTAAATTTCATTTCTTTTCAATGTAAGAGTATACTAATATGTAAAACCTAAGAATTTGGTTTTTGATCATCTGAACGCGGGCGGAGCCGCGGGCAATACTAGTTTGAATATAAAAAAAAACCAAAACCAAACCTCACCTCACTCCTACTAATCATAACCAGGATGTTCCTCAAAATGATAGCAATAAGCAGATTCCTGTGCAAGGCGACCCTCGTGACCCTCAACCTTCTGTAGAAGAAGAATATAAAGACGGCGGGCAGGCTGGCGGCGCTGGAGGCGGCGAGCGCGGCGACGTGGAAGCGGTAGCGCGCCAGCAGGCGGCCCGTCACGCTGCACGTGCTGTAGTCCGTCTGCAGCTCCCACGACGCGTTCGAATGGCATTTTTTACTGCTGTAGTCTGAGAATTGAGTAATTTACTAGTGACTCACCCTCGCTCGGGTTCGTCTCTAGGTACGTTTTAATTTTTTCGAGCGGAACCCTAATTTCTAAAATAAAAGTAGCCTATGTTACTCCCTATAACATCAGCTATCTTCCAGTGAAAGTCCCGTCAAAATCAGTCCAGCCGTTTCAGAGATCATCCGGAATAAACCGATAGACACAAAAATTTAAAAGATTGAGTTTTTCTTTTTTAAGTACCGTATATAATTTCATACGCTTTTAGTAAAACGCTGTTATTTTGACATTACAAACAGACATTTCAATTTTATTTATCTGTAGATATAGATTGTGTTGTGGGTGTGTAGGTTTGATTTTCTTAGAAGTAAATAATTCTATTATTAATACAATTATTTCGGAGGAAATTGAAAATAATTTTTTTGCTATGAAGACAAACAGATGACGAATTTTATTCGCCGAATTCGACGTTCAACGAATTTAACGCAAATTTTATTATTAGGTAAATAATATTTGATTAAAGCGTGTTTATTAAAATTTACAAGTGTATTATATAACAAATGTATATAACGATTTCTTTATATTGATTAAAACAATGAAAAGAATAAGATATGATCAGCACTTGCATTAGTTAATTCGATTTATCTGCTAAGCTACAATTGTACTTTTTGATTTTACACTCAAATATAACAATTAGGTCCATTTTTGAAAATGAGGTGAAATAAATTGTTCGACAATAATACATACGATGGCAAGTAGGTCCAGTATTGGAATACGCGAACTCCGGGCACACCGAGCTGGCTGTGGTGCCGTTTGGCTGAGCCTTCCAGCACGTCCAGCCGTCGAATGTTGGGGAACATTGGTTCTCTGCGTGCCAAAAGCATTAGTATGATTACTTAATGATTTCTTTATTATTTAATACAAGCAGAACCTACGGCTTCGCTCGCGCTAAAACTACAATAAAAACTTTTTCACAAAAACTTTACTTTTAGGTGCTTTTGTTTGAAGTCGGTTTTTATTTTTTTGTGAAAAAGTTTTTATTTTTCCCTTTTTAGTGTAGACGGTAGTAGCAAAGTAAGAATTCTAAAGTGTTAGGCTTGTCAAATCAAACAAAATAAGCCTAAACTCAAAGTATCTACTATTAGCCGTTGAAGAGTTCCACCTATACACCTTCTGGCCTTACCATCAGATCCGGTCAACAATACCGAACCACTGTACTATCCAATGGAAATAGAACCACTTGCAAAGTTTCAAGTCAATATGACAATTAGAAGTAGGTTAAATTCATCATTAGCTATTTTTTCACCCTTAGGGTATTTTTTTTTGAAATTTAAATGGACCAACCAATTAAAAAAACCAATCTTTCAAACAACACAAGAATTGTCCAAATCGGTTAATAAATGACGGAGTTCTGAGGTAACAAACATAACAAAAAAAACCTGTCGAATTGAGAACCTCCTCCTTTTTGAAGTCGGTTGAAAAACCGCTAAAAAGGAAGATTTCATACAAACTTCCATCCCATATTTTACCCCCATATGGGATGAATTTCAAAAAATGCTAAAACACGTATTAATTTATTTGTATTAGAGAGCATTATTACCAAGCTTCAAGTAATTCTGATCATAAATATTTTTTGATTTGATAAAAAAAACAAAATTATAAATATATATATATAATATATCACCATCGTTCGTATATCCATTCATAAAGTGACTGCAGCAATCACTTGCCGCGTAGAAGCAAGATTCCCATCTCCCCTGAGCTGATGGCACTAAAGCATTACGTATTCTTGTTGCCACCTCCTCAAAGCTAGGATCGAATGGATAACAAGAGCATGTACCATCATCTTTCACCTGCAAAGATTAAATATCTGTTAGCTTGGAATAATTTAACATAACATTAAATAAGGTACACGTATACTTTAAAGTTTAAAGTAATAAATTCGTCTTATGCTGCTTGTATATAAAATTCAAAATTATTAAAAAATATTTAAGGAAAAAGTTGCGTCAAATATCATAACGCGATAAAAATGGCTATTCAATGTTATTGAGTGAAGTGCTTATTTTGAACATATACTGTACGCATCTAGAACTGTAGATATGGAAATTTGTCAATAAGTAGTAATGTCAGTAACTTAACAATATTTACCGCAACAATACGATGTTTAGATAATTCAAAGAATAACAGTCGATTATGAATATAAAATATTGATAAGAATGACAAACAAAGTACGTATCAGTTAAATGAATATCTATTGCAGATTTTTTAGATGAATATCTAATGATGTCATGTGTAATTATTGAAATCGGGTATTTAAATTACATTTGTATAGCATAAGCCAATTGCTTATAGACGTTAGCTTTTAGTGAGATTTTAAATAATGTCCTCTACTAAACTCTATCGAGTTTAAGCAATTATTAGCGACTGCAAAAACAAAACAGTAATGAGAGACCCACCATCTTCGTGATCTATATTACATAGCCCAAGTGTGTGCGAAAACAAAGTTTACACGTTTTAGCATTATCACAACACCGACTTTATAAATCCTATTTGCTACTGAAAATTTCTATATATAAAAAATCAAAATTAGACCAACGAGAAAACTTTATGATGTTTTCGATATTCGATCAGGAAAAAATGTTAATTTTCAGCCAACTTGGCATTATGTTTTCTATATATGCTTAATGTAGTACTAAGATAACTATATTATTTAATTGTAAAGGTCATCATAATTTGTCGAGATAAGGTCATGCCACCACAACTCACGTATGTGCCAAAACTAAATAAAAAATATGCCTATCAGTGCGTATTTCTAGACTGAGCCAGTTCAAATTTATAGAATTAGTATTGATATAAGTACATTCATAAAACACGTCCAGCTAAATTTCGACTTTTTGGACCTCTTCCTTGCTCTTCAACCCTCTGCGTCACATTTTCTGGAACCTTCAAAACAAAATATACAGTCGGAATACAGCTGGACGTGCACTCCCCACTGCTTGCGAACGTATTGAATGGATACTCCTTTACTCAAGCCGTCGTCGTCACCATCGTTTCAGCCGAAACATGTCCACTGCTGGACATAGGTCTCCCTTGAGGATTTCCACGACAGCCGTTCTTGTGCCATCCGCATCTAGTGAGCTTCAGCGACTTTTACCAAGTCATCGGTCCACCTTGTGGGAGGCCTGACAACGCTTCGCCTACCAATACGTGTACTTTACTCAAGTACCTCCTGTATTTTACTTTCAACAAACAGAATGTCTTAATTTCATTGAATCGTTTTATTTTCTTTGGTATGCTCGTGATAATAATTATAATTAATATCATGATATAAAAAATATTAATCTATATAACAATCTTCCCTACAAGATATCAAAGATCAAGATTTGTGATTTTTTTTTAAATTTTAGAAATGACTTAATAATATTATTAACTAGCGAATTACCCTCGCTTTCTTCGGGTGCGTTCCTAGGTACGATATTATATAGTTATTGCGAGTGTACCTTAGACCTTTTTAAGGCCTACAATTGTCTAGTACATTATTTTGATGTATCTCTTAAGGCTTAGCCAGCATTAGCCATTTGAATTTCTAAGGACGACTCTATTGAATATATTGTGTTTTCCCGTGGGAATGAAAGATTTTCTTGTAGTAAAAGGTATCCTAAATGTTGACCCGAGTAATAAATTATCGCTACACAAAATTTTGTTAAAATCGGTTCAGTACTTTTTGCACTAAACGCGCACACACAAACAGACAAACAAACAAAATTTTTAATATGTATTGTTTTGACGTTACAGTCATTGTTTATAAAAAATATTACATGTACAGATTTCACTAAGTTACTGTTTTATTATATGTAAAGATATTTAATACTGATGAGAAAATGACTTATTTATGACGTACCAATTTGTTGTAATAAAAATACTAATAAAATTACATGAGATATAAATTATTCTTCTTCTTCTCCGTGCCCACTGCCCGATCACTTGGGGTCGGCGCAGTACATCTTCTGTACTGCTGAAAGGATTTGGCAAAAATTTTACGACCGGCCGCCTGCCTGACGTCAACCCTCCTTAGGAATGTTATTGTATCTCTTAATGTCTGAATGGTGTCGCGGAAGTCTTGTAATTATTATGCACTTTCAATTTTGTTGTCTTTTAAAACATTTTTATACTATTACTTAAATTTTTAATGTTATTTTCGGATATATTTTAAAATAAATTTTGATTACACCATAAATTTTGTTTTGATGAGATATAAATTATTAATTCTATATAATTAGTATACATTATAAAAAGCTCCTCGCTACGATGAATTTTTATTTGTTTGAGCTAGTCTCAAAATTACTGTTTAAGACGTTTTATCTAAGAAGAAAAACAAATGATTTACTATTTCCAAGCACGGTACGAAGAGACCCTCATACATGCATTCTGTATTTAGATTGATGGGGTTTGATCCATTGACATATAAAAAATCTGGAGTGTAGACCAAGCAGCCAACACCAGCAATCCATTTGAATACTTGTTCATGATACCACACGTTTCGGAAATTGCAATCTTTACCGGAATCCAATGGAATTGAATCTGGGGGTTCCTATAAAAATAAATTGGATTTTAACCATAAATTTTAAATATAAATAAAAAAATTAGATATGTTGGGGCATTAACACACAGCACCATCTAGGTCCATGTTAGGCTACACGAGGCTTGTGTTATGGATAGATACCAGATAGTTGATACTCTTTACATATATAACTTTAAATATATATTATAAATATAAACACCCATGACTGAAATGGAGTACAAACATTCGTGCTCATCAAACAAATGAATGTCCCCCAGCGGGACACGAACCCGCGACCGCTGGCACAGCAAGTACGAGCCAAAAGTGTCGTCATGAATATTATGGGTTGAAAAATCTTCAATAATATATAAGATTTAAATCTAAATACATAGTTCAGTTTATTTTCAATCCTTCCAGAATATTCCAAGTTATAGCTTAGTAAGTTTAGGGTGGGAAAAACCACACACGTCTATTTTTTACATCACTTCTTAGACTTTTTTAAATAAACAAAAAATAAATGTAGTTACAAATTACCTCACAAAAGATATTGGGCCTTTGACATGTGAGCTGGTCGTTGGTACTAACCACGCGTGGGTTTCGCTGATATTGCTGCCACACGCTTAATTCATCTTTAGCCAGGTTGATGCTACCATCGAAATAACTCTGTCAGAAAAAAATATACTAAAAAAATGTGCAAACGCAAACGCACCTGCGTTCTTTAGTTAGTCTCATAGTTCGAAAAGTCGGTAAGTCAGAAAGACCGGAGAAAGACCAGGGTTAAATCGACGGATTTTTGCATACTCTACAACGCGAAAGCTTAACACTCTTAACAGGAGACAGGACAGGAGTTAGACTCCTAACAATTTTGTTGTGACAAAATTAACTGTTTAATTGTTTGACTAGATCCGCGATTCTAAGAAAGATCCTTTTATCCGACTGCGCGACGCAAAGGAGGTTATGTTGTGCATAGCGGGTTTACATAGCTGTATGTCCATAAATGGTTCTGACCAACAATTTGGGATCGGACATCGGCTGCCCTTGATCTTCGTTCCACTTATCATTACCCCGCGAAAGCGGCGGGCAATAAGTAGTTAAAAATAAGTAAATAACGATTAATGCAGATGGAAAATGCACACCAGATAAATAAATATATATCTGAACTCTCTAATTTATTTGGGATTCTTCATAATTGTTTCCCTTACATTACCTGAGCTTTACAAGCACTCCAAGTACAATGAACAATGAGTAATATCTTGTACAGTTCGCACATCATTTATCACTTTTACACAACGAGTCATAATTAAAATCACTCAAAAATATGGACCATTTTGAAAAAGTCATTACGCCGTAGTCCACAAACAAAACAACGCGCACTGATTAGTTACAAAGAGGCTGTCAGGCATTCCAGTTGTAAGAAAAACCATAATAGCCTTTGTCGATTGTCTTGAATATTGAAATTATTTTTCTCGCATCCACAGCTACAATTGTACTACAGCTGTTTACAAATTATCGACTCCAATCTATTGTTATCTGATATTAAAATCCTGAAATACGCAGTGATTCGTAAATTAACATTTTATCAAGAATTCCACCAATAAATCAAATGGCTTCTTTGATTTTTCAATTATATTATTATTAAAATATTTTCTATATCAATTGATTAAAATATTTCATAATAAGAATAGTTGTATTTTAGAGTTATTTAACCCCCGATGCAAAAAGAGGGGTGTTATAAGTTTGACGTCGATGCTGTCTTTCTGTCTGTGTGTGTATGTCTGTCTGTGGCATCGTAGCTTTCAAACGGATATACCGATTTTGATGCGGTTTCTTTCATTTGAAAGCCAGTTTCCTTGTGGTGGTTCCTAGCTATGTTTGGTTAATATCGGTCCAGCAGTGTAAGAGTATCAGCTCTTTTCCAAAATGATGTAAGGCATTTTGGCGTATGAGTACTCGATTAAGTGCTTCACGCGTCCCAGTGTAATTGTTAAATGACGATGAATTAACGAAGGCGGTTTTTTAAATTTTTAATTTATAATTATTACTTTTTTGGCTTTAACTTTAGTTATATATAGTTTTAGTTATACTTTTACTGTAATTATTTGCGTATTTTTAGCTTAGACTATATAATATATATAACAAAAGTACTAAGTATTTTTCCCTATTGAAGCAAAACACTAGTGTTTATCTAGTCTAAAATAAAGTTTACTTAAAAATTTGATATTCAACAAGGCTACAACATTTAAATATGAAAAGTCTCAATATACGCGGCAGTAGGTAGGTGTAGGTACCTATTGCAAGTATGGACACAAAACGACACAATTCTTTTATAGTTGGTTAGTTTCCTCGTCAATTCCTTTACAATTGAATGGAACATTTGATATTCTCATTGATAAGTATTACAATATTTTTAAGACGCCATATTACGAATATTTTAACCGTGGATAGTAAATTATTCTACACGAGTAACAACAAGTATTATATTACATTGTGTACTGAAATAGAAAGCACAATGTATGTATGATAATCTACTCGATATTATATAATTATCCATACTATTCTATACTAATATTATAAAGAGGCAGAGTTTGTTTGTTTGAACGCGCTTATCTCAGGAACTACTAATCCAATTTGAAAAAAATAAACTTAAAAGTAACAAAAACTTAGTGCAGCACTACAAAAGAACATATCGAAATAAATGCTTCTAACGCAAATGATACATATTATAGATTTACCAAGAAGATAGAAATATAATAAGTTACACGATAAGCTAAGACACGTGTCCGATAATAAATAATTGTTTTGACCTTTCAAATCATTACGAGACTTACTTCAGGCTAAAAGTTGATACTAATCCAATTAAACCATTTCTTCATAATACGCAATGACTTGGAAATTTATTAGACTTCCATATTTTTTGCCACGTGATTGAATTATCATTAGCAAATGAACGATTTAATACAATAGGTATACTTAATATTAATATTTACCTACTTACATAGTAGGTAAATATTAATCTATACTAATATTACTTATAAAGAGGTAAAGTGTGTGAGATTGTGAGTTTGTGACGTTGTAGGGGGTAGGGTAAATTTGGTAAGAAGATAGTTTGAGACCCTGGGAAGGACATAGGATACTTTTTATCCCGGAAAACATCCCCTATGGGGGTGAAAATTAAGATGAAAGTTATTATTGGGAAGCAAAAGTTTTTAAGTTTACTAAGTAAAAGTTAAGTAAGGCAAATGAGTCTAAATTCGAAGGGTATACTCGCAGCCATTGAAGAATACCACATCCCGACATTATCATCGGATAAGCTTGTGCCCCCTGATAGTATTATCGTCTAAATTTACTTGGAAAGTATCATGAACTGCGAAATTAGAAGTAAGATAAATTGACATGATAGATATTACATAATGTTAAGTAGGTACTATACTTTTTATTACAAATAAAAAATATCAAGCAATTGTTTGAAAAACGTGCCGAAAGAGGTATAATATGATTGTTAAATTTTAAAAATTCAAGTTTTATATGAACTGTAAATACTAAGTAGGTAATTTGATTATTCATTTCTAAGCTATTAGGCATATAAAGATAACGCGATGCTTATTTTCATTTGATAACCGCAAATAGCATGCTTCATGCGTGAAAGTATGATTAGTATATATGAAAGTTGATCTGCAAATGTTAATTAATCAATACTGGTATACTTAAAACTCCAAAGTGAATTTTTGTAAGAAACCACTACGTTAGATACCTACTAAATTAAACTTCCGATATCCCGTTAACCATCCATTTATTCAGGTCATCGATCAAAAAGTATTTTTTTTGATGATTCAGATCTATGCCTATTTTCATACAGTTCAAAACAGTTCAGTATCTTTATCTCCTTTGTTTTTCAACCGATTTTTTTTTAGTAGCTGGTGATGAGCTTTATTGTTATCAAAAAAAAAATTGAAATTAGTCAGTTTTCTTATAGATAGAAAAATTTTATCTATACATACATATAATAAAATTCTAACTAAGTCGAATCTGTACATTAAGTATTCTTATGAAAATCTTATTGAAATAGCCATTATTATCGATACAGAGGCTGAATCTATAGTTTTTTAGAGTTTTTGTCTGTCTGTCTGTTACCGCATCACGGAAAAACTACTGGAGGGATTTTGATCAAATTTGGTATGGTCATAGCTGGTAATCCGGGTCAACATATAGGATACTTTTTACCGCGGGAAATTATCTTACTTCTGAGAAAAAATACACAAACTGGTTAGAATAAAACCACGATGATACTGTATATATTTTAGCAAGATAACTTACTAAATAAGGCAAAAACTATTAAAAATAGCTTATCTTGAAAAAAAAATACAATAGCGCTATTTGATTTGCTTTTTGGTCACCAGAACGCGGGCGGAGCCGAGGGCAAGGCTAGTTTTATTATATGTAAAGATAAATAAACAATTAAAACACACTAACAACATAACTTATAATTAGTGTAATTTTTTTTTGTGTACTAACGTTGGAGGTCCTAATAAATAAAATAAAAAAACTAGGGGCTCTGCAATCGAATAAACAAAGCAGTGTTGAGAAGTGAAACTGTGACCCCTGATATTGTAAGTAGCATGTTTGAAACTTTTATAAATTTCTTAATCGATAATTTATTTAACCACTAACGACTTACCCTAGTGCTTCGCTCGGGTGTATCCTTAGGTACGCAAATTTTGTTCGCAATTTCAAGGGTTTTTGTTTTTCCATGGAACTTTAATTCTTTTTCCAAAATAAAAGAAGCCTAAGTTATTCCTTATCTATCTGCCAGTGAAAGTGCCGTCAAAATCAGTCCAGCTGTTTTGGAGATTAGCCGGAACAAGCAGACAAACAAAATTTTTAAAACTTGTTTTTTTTTCTCATAAGTACAATTTATACTTGCATATTATGTATTTAGCAAAAAGCTGTTAGTTTGATATTTTTTTCATTTGACGAGCAGATATTTTCATTTTATTTATTTGTATAGATTATTACCTGTATATAAATATTGAAAGCTTGTTATTACTTGAGTTTATTTTCTCAAGTAATATAATGTCGGTAAATATTTTCATTTCTTTATCTAGTATTTTATGATACGATATCTATTATAATAATAATAATTAATAACAATAACTATAATATCGTTTATGTATAATGTTGTTTTCAGTCTCTCTAACATTTCATAACACGTATGTTGTGACGTCAGAATTTTGTTTAAAATAATCTAAGTCTACATAGTCCTACTAATAATAAAACTATTCCTCATATACGAAATATTATTAGTCCTCTTTGTGAATATCTCTTTTTTAAACCGATCAATTCTCAATCTCTACCCCTACTACCGTGTCTTCTCCATTCTACACAATATTGGCGAAGTAAATTGTGTCCAAATGACACGGCTTTAAGCTACAGAACAAAGCTAAAATGTTAAATAAAATAATATAAAAACATTAAACGTTTATTGATTGAACGGGATCAATAAACAACTACTAAATATGACAGTAAAAGTTTTTAAATCGATTTGACTCTTTAAAATCAATTTTAACGTAAAGTTTAATAAGAAAAAATCATTCTTAAGTGATGTACAATGGACATTCTAAGAGAAAGACAGATAAAAAAGTAAAAAGGTCAATTTGAATTTATAGATATTGTTCATTCAATTATACTAAAATTGCGATTAAATAATGAGGGTGGTGGTAGGAGGGTAAAAAAAACTTTACGACCTATTCTCATACCTAACAAATACACAAAAAAAATCATTAAAATCGGCCAAGTAGTTTCGGAGGAGTGCGACCACAAACATCGTGATACGAGATATTTACATAATTATACTAAGCGACTCATTCGTCCCTAGAGAAAACTAAGGTTTATATGTATGTATTTTTTAATCCCGAATCATAAAAAAATAAAAAAAATTGACCAAAAAATAAAGAAATATTTTTTGGGGTGGATCACCCTTATCACTAAGGCGTAGAAAAATAGTTTACGTTCTATTCTCAGACCTACTGAATATACAAACAAAATTTCATAAGAATCAGTCAAGCCGTTTCAGAGAGGTAGTTTTGTTACAAACACTGTGACACGAGAATTTTATATATGTATTAGAAAAATCAAAAAAACCGATTCATAATTTACTATACCTACCTAGGTACAAACTATCGCGTAACCGACAGAAAAACATGTATGTATATGTGAAATGAGTACCACCTTTTTTTTGAAGTTGGTCAAAAAGTATTCCAAATCAAAACATAACAT